TGCCCTGTCCCTCAGCTCTGGTCCCCCAGGCCCTCCTGCCCTGTCCCTCAGCTCTGGTCCCCCAGGCCCTCCTGCCCTGTCCCTCAGCTCTGGTCTCCAGGCCTGCCCTCAGGCTGGCTCATGTCTGGAGCTTCTGGCTCATCTGTCCAGGATCCCCTCCTGCACTCCCCTGTGCTGGGCTGCAGACCCCATCCACCTACCAGACTCAGACCCCGTTCCTCGCAGGCCCTCTCCTGGGCCCCAGGCTCGCACCAGTCTCCATGGCCAGGCTGTACCTGGCCTCCCACCAGGGCCAGCTGGCGTTTCTGTAGGCCTGCTCTTGAACCCTGGGGTGCAGGCCCATCCCCTGTTATCAGCCCTGCAGCCTGGGCCTATGTCCCTTCATTCTCTGCCCTGAGGCCACCTGCTGTACACCCTGCCTTCCGTCCATTTCCCGAACTCGGGCTCTCCCAGACCCACCCTGCCTGTCCCTTTCCCTCCTTAGTGCCTCCCTCTCCTGCCTGGACTCCCACACCAGCCACTCTGGCCACTCTCAGGGGCTCCCCGGGTCCCCTGCTCTCCTGCCCCAGCTCCTGAGCCTCCCCTCAGGGAGGGGAAATCCTGGTCTTCCCCTCATTCCCAGCCAGACTGCACCAGGCCCCAGGCTAGTTGGGGGCAAGATGCAGGAGCACTTCGGTCCCGTGAGGCAGTAGAGGCCAGGGTGGCACCCACCAGGCTCCTTTCCTCCTAACCCGTACAGCCAGGGTTCCAAGGTGTGGGGTGTGCAGGGAAATGTGGAGCTCGTGGATCACAGAACCTGCTGGTGAGATGGATGTTGGAAAGTGGCTGTTTGAAGTTGCGGAAGGCTGTTGAGCTGGGCTGAGGCATCCCCTTGCTTGTTGGAAGCAGGCTGCTCCTGCTTGATTGAGGGGTGACTGGAGGGTCTGCCGACGCCGTGTGCTTGATCCACAGTTGAGCTGGTATGGCGTAGTCACCGGCACACCTGCGGTGAGGGTGCGCAGGACCTGGCTGTGAGGTGTGGGTCAGCAGTGCCGTGCCTCGGGCCCCCATGAGCTTGCCTTTTGCAGGAGTCTGCACTCTGACCAGCATACCGTACCCACACTCCCACTGCACTCTGCCTCGATGACTGGCTTTCCAGCTGGTCTTTAATGTGCCAGCCACCTCTATTGCCTTCACGCGGTGGCTCACCTTCTCCTGGCACCAGGCTGACCTACTCCATGCCAGGCCCAGCCCTGTTCACATTGCCTTGGTGTCAGAGGTCTGCTGTGTGCAGCATCCGCACTGCCGGGCTTCCGCAGCCTGCTCCTTTGTAAACAAGCCCACACTTGGTCTGAAGTCCTGGTCTCCCTGCAGCAGGCACAGGAGGGACGTAGAGGGTGACAGTCGTCAGGATTCTTGTGTCTATGCAGTGACCTCCCCGAAACTGGCAAGTAGAACTGAAGCCTGAGCTTCCACCTAGCCCATTCCACAGAGTACGGGGCACAAATTCAGCAGAAGTACTGAAGGACTCTTAGAAGCATGCACACTCTGTGATTTAGAAAGTGCCAGATCCCGGCAGCCCCAGGTTCCTTACAGAGCAGTCAGAGGGCAGAGCCCTGTCCGCACGGCAAGGCTCCCTCAGCATGGGCCCTGGGCTGTACAGGCACACCCCTCCCAGTCACAGCACCCCTTCTCTCAGGTCCTGGGTCTGGGGAGCTTCAAGTGTGGGCGTGGGGATTTAGGAACCAGTCTGTCATTTCCCCAGAACACCTTCTCATCAGGCCCCTTCCCCGAGAGCCAGCAGTGCCAGTGCCTCCTCTGCCCCGTCCCCAGCCCTCCTGCCAGCTCAGTGCTGTGTCACACTGGGTCCCCCGCTGCAGGAGAGGCTGAGTTTCTCTGGACAGCTGTGTCTGCAGCTGGCGCTGGCCTCTCCCCACACCTGCGACTTCTTCAAGCCCATGTGCCCACTCCCAGAGGCTTCTAAGCACCAGGTGCCATCTGTCTCCGGCCATAGCCTGGCTGGGCCTGTGCTGGGCAGGCCAGCTAGCCCCAGGTCCGGGTCGTGGTGCCTGTGGCCTTGGTGCACTCCCGAAGTGCTGCCTTGGGAGGAGCCTTCTCCAGCCCAGGACCTCTGAGTCTGAGCTGGTTCCTCTGCGTTGCAGATCATCCCCAAGCCCAGCGAGCCGCCACGGCAGCCAGAGAGCCACCCCGAGGAGACAGAGGAGGAGCTCCGGGAGCACCAGGCCCTGCTGGATGAGCCCTATCTGGACCGGCTCCCAGGGCAGAAGGAGGCGCACACACTGGCCGGTGTGCAGGTGAAGCAGGAGCCCATCGAGAGCGACGAGGAAGAGGCGGACCCCACTCGGGAGGCGGAGCCAGGCCAGCGCCCACCCACTGAGCAGGAGCTGCTCTTCAGACAGGTGCCAGGGCAGGGCAGTGGGCAGGCAGTCACTGGGCAGCCACTTGCCAACCACCTTGGCCTGGAGTCTGTCCTGTATGAACTGTGGGCACCCACATTCATGTACCTGTTCTCAGCGAACAGCCCATTCCCCAGAGCTGGTTCTCTTCAGGTCCGTAGAAGCCAGGCACTGGTGAGATTCAAATAACCCCAGACTGAGTCAGTTAAGAAGGTGGGCAGGATCGGGGCAGCAGCTGGGAACTTGGGGGCCAAGGAGAGAGATGCTGGTGTCCAGCTTTGTAGAAAAGCACTCTGATGGGCTGTCCTGAGCCAGTGAGAGGTGGGGCACTGATTCACACGCCCAGACTCCTAAGAGATGAAGAAATCCAGTGAATGATGTGTGAAGTCCCAGTGAAAAACAAAGTGGCCAAGGCAAGAGCGTACTTAGGATAGTCAGCTAGTGGTCAGAATCCAGGTCAGAAGCCAGGCGGCCTCCGGGAAGGTCGCTCCCTCCTGAGGAGCAGGGCTGAGCCAGTGGATCTGAGCAGTGCTGTGGGCCGTGCGTTCCAGCAGCCAGGCCAGTGCCTGGGTACTGCTTCTGGGGCACTGGGGCCACTGGCTGACCCCCAGCCTTCTGGCTGGATTCCATGACACTGCCTAGCCATGACAGCTCCAGCAGGTGGCCAGGGCTCCCCTGCCCAGCCCACCACCTGGGCCCTGCTCACTCGGCCCTCACTGGAGATGCAGAAAGTGGGTTGCAGCCTTGTTCCCGGCTCCCCAGGGCCCGAGCCTGGATTCCAGGACTCTGTCCCGAGTAGCCATGACCTGGCAGCTGGCCTGGTGGTGTTTCTGTCCTTTGGGGCCAGAGGTGACCTTCTCCAGTTCCTGCAAAGTCCAGTAGAACCAATGGTGACAGCAGCAACAGAAGCCCAGGTGGCGAGAGCTGCCGACCCCTGGCCCACCAGCCCTTGGGTGGCCCTTCCCTCCCACCCTGTTTCTGGTGGGGCCCAGAAGGTCTCAAGGAAGGTTTACTGTGACTGAGACTCAGGATTCTGTCACGCAGATGCCAGGTTGGGTGCCGCACACGCACGGCCTCAGCTGGTGTCTGAGGTGGTGATGGGCATGCACTTGGGAGGAGGGCCTGGCTAGCTGTCCAGCATGAGACCCTCCCAGGGGCTCTTCCTGTCCACCCTGGAGAGCAGAACTCCCCAGGGGGAGCGTGGTGAGGCCCAGGACAGCTTGCAGAGGTTTGCATAGGATAGAGCACTGGACCTGTCCCCAGTAGCCATGTCACACCTCAGGAGCAACGGTGGGTCACTAAGTCAGGCTTAGCCTGCTGTGGCCAGTGAGCCAGGCCTGTAGCACCTGGATTTCCTCTGCCCTTGACCTTGACCCCACTTCTTGGGCAGAAACCAGGGGCTGGGCCCAGGTTCTCCAGGTTCTCCAGCAGGTGGACCTGGTGCTCCATGGCCCTGTGGTCTCTTCATCACATCTGGCAGAACGTGGGCAGGGTGAGCCGGAGTGGGTGGAGACATCCTGCTTCTTCCCCTCTGTGGCCTGTGGCTGTGGCAGGAGGCCTCGGGAGGCTGGGCAGGCTGGGTCCTGATGGGGACCCGTGTCCCTTGGGGGACCTAGGCATGTCCACACCCTCCTGGCTCTGTCCTCCCTGGCCCCTGAACTGCGAGTGAATGTTCCTCTTACCCCCGCAGTTCCTCCCTTCCCAGGGCGGTCAGAGGCACGGGATGGGGAGCTGCTAGTGGAGGAATGAAGGTGCCCTCTGTGTCTGTGGTCACTTTCTGGCCCAAGTTTGGCATCCAGATTAGAAACTCTTGGTCCAGACAAGACCAGGGGAACTTGATGAGGGCAACAGTCTGTGCTTGCTGGCCTCACCGCAGCCTGGCCACCGTGAGCCTCCAGGGGTCCCCAGGCAAGGTCAGTGCACCTCACCCCATATGGGGCTGAGCCCTCAGCATGGAGGGTGACCCCTGCTGCTCCTTGTGACTCAGGACCTCCTCAGAGAAGCCCCCGTGTCCCCTCACTGGGGGCTCCCCATGAGGAGGAGATGGGCTTGTGCTGGAGCTCCCTGTCCACGTCTGTCTTCCTGCCAGGAGGCCGGGTGCTCGAGGCAGACTGTACCTGCATTCTGCACCCTGACCTCACTTGGCATGGCCACAAGCACAGGAAGGTGGCCGTCTGTGGCTGGCTGACCCAGGGTGGGGCCTGGCCCATCTGTTCACAGCCTGGGTGTGACCCTTGGGCCCCGGGTGGGAGGGGTGTGCCAGCGGCGCAGACTGCTGTCCCTCCCCGCAGCAAGCCCTCCTGCTGGAGCAGCAGCGCATCCACCAACTGAGGAGCTACCAGGCGTCCATGGAGGCTGCCGGCGTCCCAGTGTCATTCAGCGGCCACAGGCCTCTGTCCCGAGCACAGTCCTCCCCAGCGTCCGCCACCTTCCCTGTGTCTGTCCAGGAGCCCCCCACCAAGCCAAGGTTCACCACAGGTAAGACGCGGGCGGGGCCCTGCTGCGGTGGGTGGGAAGCTGCTGCAGCCAGAGCTCCAGGAGGGCCACTGTGAGGGCTCAGGCCACACAGCCTGCAGCCACACCAGTGCTGTTCAGTGGGCTGTCGAGGGACGGCAGTCCCCACCTGCATGCCCCCGTGGCCCGTCCTGGGTCAGCGAGAGAGTGGACTTGGTCTTTCTCACTTACCCCCTTGCTGAACCAAGCTGATGTCCCCAACACAGTTCTGCAGGCCCCACTGACCTACTGTACAGCTGTGCTGGAGAGGAGCCCAGCAAGCTCCGGGGCCCGAGTCTCCTCGCCGCTGTCCCTCACCCCGCCTGTCCCTCACTCCACCTGTCCCCTCCTGTGGGAAGGCAGGTAGCTTTGCTTCTTTCTGAAAGGCGCAGGAGCAAGAGCACAGCAGAGGACGCTGGGCCTAGAGCCAGGTGAAGGCTGCTCCCTGGCTGGCTCCCTGTGCCAGCCCTAGAGGGGAGCAGCACTGGCTCCCCACAGCGGAGTGGCCAGGGTGGCCACGGTGCTCGGCCTCAGTGCTCCACCTCGTGGGGTGCCAGGAAGACAGGTGTAGAGACAGTGACGGTCCCAGCGTCCTCACGCTCCCCAAGAGCTCGCTTCCCTGCACCCCACAGACACAGCCGAGGTCTTCTCTTCAGCTCTTAGAAGGACATTGGTCACATTCAGAGAAAACCTCGTAGTGATCGCCCAGAAACAAGGAAAGGCAGAGACAACTGCGGCGATCCAGACCAGCCGGGCTGCACGGGTCACTGGCCATTGACGGAAGCACACCGATTCTCAGAAGAGCGGGGCCCGACGGGGCCCCTCCCCAGAGCTCGTGGCCACCGGCAGTGGCTGTGCCCTGCGCTGGCAGGCAGGGGCTTCGGTGGTCCATGTGTTCAGGCCCTGTCCTGGCTTCAGGGTTGTCACTTTGGGGTTGATCCGTCGGTACACGTTCATCAAAGCACGGTGTGCCCGAGGTCGCATGAAGCTTGCTCCGCCTGGCGTGGCGGCAGCCCTGGCAAAACCCCGGTCTGTGTAGCGGGCGGACAGGTCGACGCCCAGGGAAACTGACCGCAGGAGGACAGGCTTGCTTCGCCTCTTGGTGCCGGCACCCTGGGCGGCCTCCCGGGCCCACACAGTACTTCTGCACGTCCTTCACACAGCATAGTCACCTGGCCTGCTGCTCCTCAGCTTGCACCCTGCTGGGTTTGACTGTGAAGCAGCAGTGGGGTCACGTCAGCAAGCGTGAGCTCATCACTGAGACCTGCTGAGTGCAGCGTGTTTGTCCTGCAGTGGCCATCTACCTGGCTCAGACCTGCACCTCGCCCTCCTGCCCACACACTGAGCCTCTGGGTCCCTGTGACCCTGTACCCATCCTGCAGAACTTTTTTTAACCAAAAGTCACATCTTCAGCACTCGGCTCTGGTAGAGAACCCAGAACCCCTCAGGTGCGGGGCTGGCTCCGTTAGCCCAGCTCACCGAGGCCGAGCAGGAAGGTGGGGGAGCCGACACAGCTCCAGGCGTCCAGCAAGGCCCCCAGCCACCATGGCTGGCGACACTGCCTTTGATCTCAGGAGCAGAGGCAGAGACCCTCCAGCATCAGGCTCTAGAAGAGCCCACCCACTGGGCACGCACACCGTAGCCAGCAGGCGGCCCCACCGTGAGCTCTGCAAGGGCGTCTTCCACTCGTCCTGGCTGTCCCCTGATCACCGCCTCAGAACCACCAGCCTGGGAGCCCCAAGCAGGACCAGCAGTGCAGCCCTCCTGCCAGCAGTCACCAGGGACAGAGCTCCTCTAGGGACAGGGCCTGGTGGCAGAGGGGCCACCTGCCACTGCAGTGGGCCTGACCTTGACAGGGTGGCGTCCATCACGGCAGCTCTGGTGTCCCGAGGTCAGCAGGGCTTCCCTCAGGAGTGTCCCCCATCACTGCAGCCCAAGCCCGTTAGCGCTGGACCTTGTCCTGCTGTCAGCAGGTTTCTGAGCTCCACGGGCTCGTTTGCATTTGCTGTGGGCAGCCCGGTGTGGGTCTGTGCGTCCTCAGGCATGTCCCTGCTCCTCTGGAGGTCTCTGACGGCAGCCCTCCATGTGGGACCACCCTGACCCTCGGGCCCCTGGGACAGTGCCAGCTATCAGGGCTGCTCTGCACAGAGGTCAGTCCATGACCAGGTGGACTTGGACCTCACAGGGACAAGACCTCCTGTGCTGGAAGCTGGCACAGTCCTGTGGGGTGCAGCTGGCACCCAGGTGTGGGGCGGCTCCCCGGGGCCGGCCACCTGCTCACATTTTTCTCCCTAGCTGCCCCATGCTGCTGCCCTCCCCACCGGGGCCTTGGGCAGTACCAGGAGCCAGAGCAGGGCCAGACCACCCGCACGGCCTCGCCTCTGCCTCACCCATGTCCTCTGGGCCTGGTGGGTCAAGGGGTCGGGTTGGACTTGCTCTTTTTCTCAGGGTGTCTTTCTCCTCTTCCTAGCAGGGCTGTGGGGCCGCCTGGGCCACCTCCTGGCAGGTGCTGGCCCAGCTATGGCCACACCACTGACCTCGGCTGCCTGTGTCCTCCTCCAGGCCTCGTGTACGACACCCTGATGCTGAAACACCAGTGTGCCTGTGGGAACACCAACAGCCACCCTGAGCATGCGGGGAGGATCCAGAGCATCTGGTCCCGCCTGCAGGAGACAGGCCTCCGCGGCAAGTGTGAGGTAACGTGGCCGGGCCGCTCGGGTGGCGCCCACTGCCACCATTCATGGTCTCCATTGTCATGTTCTCGCTCAGCCCACAGGCCCCCAGCAGGTGGAATCTGGTTGTAGTACCCAGGGGAGGGGTTGAGAGCAGCACTGCCAGCCTTTCCCAGGGTCACCCTCTGCACTGTGTGAGCACGGCCCTTCTGCTGAGAAGCTGTCCCTGCACCTTCAGGTGCTATAGCAGAAACCCTGAGGCTGGGTAATTTATAAAGAAAAGAGGTTTGTCTAGCTTATGATTCTGGTGGCTAGAAAGTCCACACAGCCTGGTGCCAGCCTCTGGTGAGGATCCCCAGGTTGTGACACAACACAGTGGAGAAATGGTGGCCTGTGGAAGGAGCCACATGTGTGGGTGGCCCACCCTTGGATAAGACCTGAGCCTTCAGCCCTGTGGAGGGTGGAGCCCATGGCCTGATCACTTTCCCCCGGGCCCACCTCACCCTGGGGCCCAGGCTCCCACACGTGGCTCTGGGCAGAGACCCTCCACACCAGTGCAGTGCCAGGGCTGCCGCCCACACCTGCCCCTTCCTGCTGCAAGGGCACCCCCTTCTGGCACAGCCACGGCTCTGCTGACCTCCCAGAGCTCCCGTGTCCTCCTCCTGGTAACTTCCATCCTGCTCACCGCTGCTCCTGGCCTCTATGGGGAGGGCAGGATCTGAGGCTGTGGGGAACTGGACGTCGCAGCTCCAGCTGGCTGGCTTGGCATCACGTCCTCCTCCTTAACACCGAGATTCTTCACGGCTGGGGGGCTTCCTCGGAGGGGGCGTGCCACATGACCCCACTGCTGTGGGGGAGGCTCCGCTGCACACCTCCCTGGCTGGCCTCCCTGATGGCCAGCCTTCGCCCACACCCCAGGGAGCCTGTTCCCAGGCAAGAGGGCCCAGCCCGGTGAGGTTCCCTGGTCCTCCTGGGTCTTCCCAGGGGCTGACAGCAGCATTTCCATGAGTGGACCTAGCTGGTGCCCTTCACCCAGGGCCAGGTATGTGAGTGCAGGTGTGTGGAGTTCTGAGCCCCTGGGGGACAGTTGTGTGACAGGCCCTGCTGCAGTCCAGGCACTGAGAGAAGCTCAGGGACCAGGAGCTGGCCGCCTCCCACAGCCCGCCTTCCCCATCTGGGTGACAAGCGGCAGTGGCCACCTCCCAGGCTTGTCCTGGAGGGCACACCTAGTAGGGACCTGCCCAGACCAAGAATCCCACCAAACTAGAAGGCCACCACGTCTGCCCCGCCCCAGGCCACCCAGGTGCCCACCTGGGCCTGGCCCAGGCCCCCGGGATGAACAGGCACTTCTGCAGTGTGGAGGCACAGCCCCTCAGGGCTGCCCTCCTCCCAGTCTGTGGCCCAGGCTGCCTGTGTCCTTCACCACCTTCACTGGTGACGTCCAGCTCGGTCAGGGAGGGTGCGCAGTCTTCCCAGAGCCACTGGGATGGAGACCAAGGACTCTGCAGGGTGAGGCCGTGGGCGCAGCTTCCTGGGTCTGGCAGACAGCTGCCCACTGGGGGGCAGCAGAGCCCAACAGATGGCTGGGGAGACCCCTTCCTCGCCAGCATGGAGCTGGGGACCTCCCTTCCAGGGCCCCCAGGGCCCCCTGAAGTTTCCAGATTCCCCCTGCCCACCCTCTCATCCTGCTCCCTTCAGCATCTCTGCTGGGAGATAGGACCACTGGGCCAGGGGGCTCAGAGGAGGTCCTCTGCCAAAACCCAATGGGAACCAGGCTGAAGTGAGAAAATAAGACCCCTGGATCAAGCAGGACCCAGACCTCCCCTTTCATCTGTGTGGAGGTGGAGGGAAGTGCAGGTGTGTGAGGGCAGGTGTGTGGAGTCCAGGTGAGTGGAGGTGGAGGGAAGTGCAGGTGAGTGGAGGTGGAGGGAAGTGCAGGTGTGTGGAGGTGGAGGGAAGTGCAGGTGTGAGTGCAGCTGTGTGATACAGGTGTGTGGAGGTCAAGGGAGTGCAGGTGTGTGAGAACAGGTGTGTGGAGGTCGAGGGAAGTGCAGGTGTGTGAGTACAGGTGTGTGGAGGTCGAGGGAAGTGCAGGTGTGTGAGTGCAGGTGTGTGAGTGCAGCTGTGTGATACAGGTGTGTGAAGGTTGAGGGAAGTGCAGGTGTGTGAGTGCAGGTATGTGGAGGTCGAGGGAAGTACAGGTGTGTGAGTGCAAGTGTGTGAGTACAGGTGTGTGAAGGTTGAGGGAAGTACAGGTGTGTGAGTGCAGGTGTGTGGAGGTCGAGGGAAGTACAGGTGTATGAGTGCAGGTGTGTGGAGGTAGAGGGAAGTACAGGTGTGTGAGTGCAGGTGTGTGGAGGTAGAGGGAAGTGCAGGTATGTGAGTGCAGGTGTGTGAAGGTTGAGGGAAGTGAAGGTGTGTGAGTGCAGGTGTGTGGAGGTCGAGGGAAGTGAAGGTGTGTGAGTACAGATGTGTGAAGGTTGAGGGAAGTGCAGGTGAGTGGAGTGGAGGTGAAGGGAAGTGCAGGTGTGTGGAGGTGGAGGGAAGTGCAGGTGAGTGAGTGCAGGTGTATGGAGGGGCAGCCTGTGGGCCCAAGTGGAGAGGGAAGCAGGATGAGCCTCCAGGAGGCCAGCCTCCTCCCCACACCAGCAGCCGTTCCCGAGGTGTGAAAGCCATGTTGGGCCTCTGGGCCTTCTGGGTGCTGGCTGGGCCGCAGGGGCTGCTGCCCGGGGGCTGCTCTGAGAGTCAACCATGTAGGCCCAGCTGGCAGGAAGGCTGGAAGGAGGGCAGAGCACAGACCAGCACCAGCTGCTGCCGCTGCGGTCCAGCCTGAGACCTGTGGTCTTGCTGCCACAGGGAGCTTCCTGGTTGCCCGGGAGCCAACAGGGACACGCTTCCCAGTTAAGGGGCAGCTCAGCCCCTCAGTGCTGGGAAGCTCTCCTGCACAGTTCGTGGTCCTGATCTCCCAGAGCCCCTGTTTGCTGGGTTTGGTGTCTCCCTCCTCTGCCAGAGTTGGAGGGCAGGTGCTCTGCCTCTTCCTCTTCACTGTAGTTTAAAAGCCACTCCCTTAGTCTAACTGAAAGTCCCTCTTGCTGCAATTCAGATCTTATCCACTGTGGGGAGGCCTGTGGCCTTGCCCTCCTTGCCTCACAGCATGTGGCCACAGCCTGCCTCCTCCTGACAACAAGACCAGGACTCCTGTACCCCGTGAGCCTCTCAAAACATGGCCCCCAGACATCGTGTGTCCAGACAGAATGTGGCGCTGGCCGTGCCTGTGTCCCCAAATTACCACAAGGTGGGAGAAGTGGCTAGCAAATGGCAGCCACCCTCAGGGGACCCCCTGCAGGGCATGTCCTCCACTGTGCCTGGAGCGGCTGGACTGTGGTGGTCAGGGACCCGTTCCCATCACTGCTACACACTGCCTCTCCTCTTCCCCGACCCTGGAGTGACTGTCCACCATGAGAAGGGGGTCCCCAGAGCAGACCTCCAGGTGGGACAGCTGGCTCTGGTTGTCCCTCTCGAGAGCAGGGTTAGCTCTGCCCGCTCGTCCTCTTCCTTCTGCACCGCACAGACGAGCCCCCACTGCAGGGGAGGCCCGAGTGCAGGCACTCCTGGTGGCCCCGGGCACCCCTGCCGGGGCTCCCTCAGCTTGGGCACCAAGGCCTGTGGAAGGCCCAGTGCTGGCCAGGCCCGTGGTCCAGACCCTGCTCCCACCCCGAGAAAGCAGAGGTGGCACCACCGCAGCCCAGGTGTGTCCCTGTGTGGCCTGGCCCTCCAGACGCGTTTCCACAGGAGAGCTGGCTTCTAGGGTGGGCAGCCCCGCCCTTCTCAAGGCTGAGCGCCAAGCCCGACCAGGGCACATGCCCTGCTCATCCCCTGGGCGGAATCTGAACACAGCCCTGCGTCTGCACTGGAGGGGTCCTAAACCAAGGTGCAGGGTCTCAGATCACCACCTGAGGCAGGTGCAGACCCTCCGCGATGCCCAGGGGAGTGGGGACTCCAGTTCCCCTTGAGTGAGATTTCGCCAGGCAATTCACATGGTCTTTGGTATTGAGTCCTGCTTGAAGACCAGGCCCTAGCAGGGGTCAGCACAGCGTGACAACAAAGGGTGACCTGTTGAAGGCTGGAGTTATCTTGTTCAGTGTTTCCGAAGCCCTAATTCAAGTGTAAGCCCTCTACAGTGTTTGGGGTAGTGTTGGTTGATACTCGCTCTTTGTTTTATAACCACCCAGTGGTCCTGTCCTCGCTCTTGTGGCCAGCTAAGCTTCCCTTGGGGCGACAGTGCTGCCGAGCTGAAGCAGCACCTGCACAGATGTGAGCCACCTCTCACCTTGTCTCTACAGTGCGTCCGCGGCCGGAAGGCCACTCTGGAGGAGCTGCAGACGGTGCACTCCGAGGCCCATGCCCTCCTGTACGGTACAAACCCTCTCAACAGGCAGAAGCTGGACAGTAAGAAACTTCTAGGTATTTCCAGACCTTCCTTACCTCCCTACCAGGTTGACCTCACCCCGTGGGGTGTCTCCAGCCCTTGGCTCCTGCACCCAGGGTGGCCCTGAGAGTCACCAACTGCATGGGTGCTTCCCTGCAGGCCTGTGCCCGGCCACAAGGCAAGGGGCCTGCAGGAGAATCGTGCCTTCAGTCCTCGGGTCAGGGAAGGCCGGTGCAGAAGGGTCTGCATGCCAGAGGCCACTCAGGAGCACTGAGGCTCCCGCATGCTCCCCAGCCCTCGTCATGTTTGGCTCACCCCTTGGAAGCCTGGCAGCTGAGCCTTGGCTGCTGGGCAGGAGGCTCTTGTTTGCTGGCCCTGAGCAGGCAGCCCCTCCTGAGTGGGTGCAGGGAAACCCTGGCCCCTGGCTAAGCTCCTTGAATAGATGGCACCTGGCCCTGCAGGCTGCCCAGATACAGATCGCAGACCTGAGGACAGGGTCCATGGGCTCCCTGGGCACAGACCTAGAGTCGGGGCCCACAGGCTCCCTGGGCGCAGACCTCTGCAGGCCACCTGGCCACAGGCCCAGGCCAGGGCTCCTCAGGCCCCTTCTTTTCTGGGTCATTTCTTCCCTAGTCTCTGACCACCTTGAACCCGTGCAACCACTGGCCATTGGCTTCTTCCCCAGCATCCCAGCCTTTGCCCTAGGAGAAGAGCTGCCCCAGCCTGCTCTGGGCACTAGCCATGGGGTCACAGGGATAGCAGGCCGGCCGTGCTGGGCTGGCTTCCTGCGTGTCTAGCGGAGGGCATGAGAGGCCTGCTCTGTACCAGGCCCKTGCTGCGCAGGCCAAACCGGGGCACTCACCCCTCCCCGTCCTGACCGGCCCCCTCTCCTCCTGCTCCTTAGTTCACTGACCCCTTCATCTCATGTGTCCAGTCCCCCCTCACCTGCTCCCCAAGGGCATCTTTTGTAGCAGAGCTGCAGGGAAGCCCTTGCCTGTGGGAGTGTGGAGCCAGGGTCCTGTGGGGACACCCTGGACCCCAGCCTCAGGGGACCAGGCATGCTGCTTTCGGCCCCAGGTACAGCCATACACTCTGGGGAAGCAGGAGAGGGGCTGGCAGTGGCAGGTCCTGGGAGGTGGGACCCAGAGCAGACCTCCAGTGGGACAGGGGGCGTGGTCCTGCCTGCCTCAGCAGTCAACAGCATAGACCCCTGAGCCAGTGCAACCCTGCTTGCTCTGTAGACCCCAGCAGCTCAGGGAGGTGACCACAGAGACCTAGGACTGCATAAAAGGGAGCAGAGAGGGATGTAGGTCAGGGGCTGGGCAGGTGCAGGCCTCTGTTCCCTGTGCCAGGACCCCAGCTCCCTGGTCCTGGGCAGCTGCTGCTGCTGTAGAAAGAACATGGCAGGGCTCCCCGTCTGGGCACCCGCCTGCCCCCGCCCCTCCCTTGTGGAGACCATTGGCCAGAAGCAGGGTAGGGGTGGGCTGACGGGGACCCTGCACTGGCTTCCAGTCATGACGCAGACTTTCCAGCAAGGAGGCCCTCAAAGGGTAGCCCTGTGTGCTCAGGGCTTGAGGGGACGGTCAGGTGTCCAGGCCTTCGTCCTGGTCTCAGGAGAGGGTGGGGCAGAGAGTGTGACACGGCTCTGGACAGGTGTGCCCAAGCAGCTGGATCCAAGTTCAGATCCAAGGCTCCTGGAAGGCCTAGCAACAGAGCCAAGGCCAAGAGGGGCCCTGTGAGCAGAGCACGCGCAGGAACCAGAGAGGGACTTGCGGGCAGCGGGGCAGGGGCAGGAGTCTGGGAGCTGAGCAGCAGGACAGCAGGCCAGAGAGCCAGCCCTGGCGATTCCCCTGCCCCATGCCATGTGGCTGTCAGCGTGCTGCAGAGGCTGCCTGCGAGTCCAGTGTGAGGGGACCTGTGCCTCAAGTCACCCGTGCCGCCCCAACAGGCTTCGGGAGTCGCCGACGGGCTCAAGGTGGGGACACATCAGCTGGGTGGTCGCCCCGATGGTGGGCACTGCTGCACCCCCTCAGAGCGGCAGATCCTGCCCAGTCCACTGTGCACCTTGGCTGTCCATCTTTAGAGAGCCCACTGTGGCCTGACCCACTACAAAGGGCCCTTGGCATGCCAGTCTCCAGAGTCGTGAGCTTGGGGGCAGAGGATGGCCTCCAAGTCAGGGGGAAGGTGGGTGGCCTAGGTCCTCCAACCAGTTTCAAGACAGGCCCTCAGAACCGGAGAGAAGCCGTGCGGTGTGTGTGTCAGGGCGTGGAGAGGCGCCGGTGTGCCAGGGCCCACAGCCCGCTCCCCTGCTGACAGGGGGCCTGGTGCTCCCCTCCTCTGGTCCCCTGGCTCCTCTTGAGCGTCAGGTGCTCCACGTCCTGTGACGGCCATTGCAGCGTGCTTGGTGATCCTTCTGCTGGCCAAGCGTGCAGTGTGGCCTGTCACCTTGCACAGGAGGCAGGCACTGGGCGCGACAGGGCCAGTGTCCCACCTTCTCCCCACCCAGGCCGTGGTCCTGATCAGAGCTCCCCTGCCAGTCCAGGTGCTCCAGACTGGGAATTCAGGCGTCCCCCCTCTGCCTGGCATGCCCTGTGGCTCCCTGCCTCTCTGTAGGATCCACAGATTGTAAGCCGTGTGCAAAAGGCCCCGTCTTCCTCACTGCCATGGTGCCGTGCCCTCTGTGGGCCCCTTGCTGGCCTGGAAGCCCAGGGTTCGTCTTATGGTGGCATGAGTTGGCATTGCCTCAAGGGGCGCCTAGCCCAGGGGCAGCTGCATGGTGCTCACCAAGGTCCCCCCCAGAGGACAGTAGTCATAGCAGGAAACCCCAATCCTTCCCTTGGAAGCGCCAACCAGTCTGCTGCAGGTGGACAGGAGATGATAGTCCTTAATGCCCCAGGCGGCCTTCAGGCCAGAGGCTCACATCCAGCCCAGGTGCCTGGCTCCAAGCTGCAGGAAGCTAGAGCTGACAGAAGGCTTGGCACCAGAACAGGCCCTTAGTGGTGGACACTCCAAGGCCCTGGACTGTCCTGGGTCAGCTCCCTGTAGAGCATGCCCTGCCCACCACCCACCCAGGGCGGCCCTGTGTCCTGGGATGTGACAGCCCCTTTTGGCTTCCTTGTGAAGTCTGCCCAGGGAACACCTTCCCTTCCACAGCCCTGCTGTTGCTAGGCCATGATGGGACTGAGGAAGGCCCCGGCCCCAGGGCCATTTCCTGCTCTCTATAGGAGCGTCCTCTTGATGCCAGCCACTGTGCCTTCCCTCCATAAAACTGGATACCAGGTGATGCTGCAGGACAGTGAGCAGTAAGCAGGGTGTTAGGGGTGTGGTCCAGGCCTGCTCCTGCCCAGGCCGCCCTTGCCTACCTGTTCCTACTTCCTTCTGCCCCACACCTCTGGAAGGGACCTGCCTGCACTGAGAGACCGCTCTGGCTGTCCTGGTGGCCAGCCTCTGGGGCGATCCGCCTGCTGCCGCCATGCTCTGTGGTGCCTGCCTTGGGTGCTGCCACTGGGCAGGGGTGGCCATGTGACTCCCCGAGGGCATGTGGTGTTGCTGTTGAGCACCCTGTGTCCCCTATGACTGCCCAGGCAGTGGGCATGCAGCCAGCCAAGGCAGGAGGACAGGGAGGGGCTGAGAAGCCGGCCCAGGTAGGACTCCAAGCAGTCCAGGTCCCCTTCTTTTTAGATGGCAGGAAGGGGAGGCCACAGGCTGTTGCCTGAGTGGGCATGAGATTGAGGGCAGAGAGCAGCAGGGAGAGCCTGGAGCCAGCCTGGTATATGCTACTGGCCTGGTGGCTCAGTACCTATGTGGCCCGGGCAGGAGCGGGAGCCAGTCGCACAGGCTAGCACCTGTCGACACGGCCGTCCCCCACCACAGCATGCTGGGCACTCCCACAAAAGGGCTGTCTGCCTCTGTGGGATCACAGCAGGGTGTCAGCCAGCCCCTGCCCTCTGCTGGCCAGTGTATCCCACGTGAGCACCATATGGACCTTTCCTGGGGGACCTGGGCCTCTGAGCCCTGTGATGCGCCCCTTCTGCCCTCCTGGCCTTTCCTGCTGCTGGGTAGCAGGCTCCCAGCCTTGGAGCGCAGACAGCAGCATCGTGTCCAGCCCAGCCCAGCCCTGTTGCAGACTCCGGGGCTTCTGCCGAGTGCAGACTGGTGCACCAGGCCTTCCTCAGCCTGGCTGGGGGTGTCTGCAGCATGGTCAGGGTCCAGGTCTCCTGACCTACCTTTCTGTGCCAGCTGTTCCTTGGGCCTTGCCGCCATCACAGGGGCTTCTCCAGCACCCCAAGACCTGCTCTCACTTACCACCAAGCCCCTGGGCTGCAGGCCTTGCAGGCAGGAGTTGGGCCAGGCCTCAGTGACCCCAGGCTTCTCTGTGTCCTGAGTGGTCCGCAGCAGGAGCTGTGTACTTTTCCTGGGGGACCTGGGCTTCTGAGCCCTGTGATGTGCTCCCGCTGCCCTGAGCTGGTGCTCAGGGTCAGGCAGGGCGGGAGTTGGGAATGGGGCTGTACTCTGGGCCAAGGGACCTTGCTAGAGCAAGTCTGGACCCCAGGCTTGCTGGGGCTTGTAAGAAGCAAACATGCAGACCTGGCCAGGGAAGGATCGGGGCATGGAGAACAAGGAGCAGAGGGGACCAGGCAGCAGCTGGGGTGGCAGGCCGCTTTCTGGGAGCCAGGGCAGCATGCAGAGCCCTCCCTGCCCAGTTCCTAAAGGACGAGGGCCACTTTGGAGCCTGGGCTCTCCTCCTGGGGCAGTCTCTGCCGTTGTGACAGGCAGGCTTTAGGCTGGCCTGCACTCAGCCAGCTCTGAGATCACAGAGGAAAGACACCTCCCCTCCTAGAGTGCCTTCCTTATGGGGCTGGGAGTTGTGAGTGCTGCGGGCCCTGGGGTTCTGTGTGAGGGTGTCTGATCCAAGCTGTGAGGGGTGGTGCAGGTGCCTTGCTCCCCTCCCAGGGTCCTCGGTGTCTGAAAGTCCTCCTGTGGGCGTTGGACCCCAGGCCTCTCCCCACTTGCACATCTGGGAGACCAGCTGGGGCCTGTGAGCCGGAACACAGCGCTGGTGTCGGGAGCTGAAAGGGGGCTTGCCCAGGACCCAGCATCGGCATCTGGGATGTGGAGCTTGCTGTAGAGGCAGTGAACCCAGGGCTCCCGCCCGCCGGCCCTGAGATGAGGGCTCCTGCCAGCACAGCAGCTCTGCTCCCTCTGGACAGGCTCTGCTCAGCGGGGAGCATTACCCCTGGGGCCAGCACCGTCCAGGCCTGCCTCCGCCCTGTTTCAGAGGCACGCACCTCCAGAGCCGACGTGCTGTTGGCCTCCTGACCCTTTCCCTCTCCCCGCAGGCTCGCTGACCTCCGTGTTTGTCAGGCTCCCCTGTGGCGGTGTGGGGGTAAGTACTTCTTTAATGTGTGAGTAATGTCCTGTTTGTTCTTAGAGTCCTAGCGGTCACAGAAATCACTGCCTTGCTTTGCTCTGAGTGGGAAATTGCTGCCAGGTGTTTTCCATAAGCAGGGCCTCTGGGCCAGGTGCCCAGATACGGCTTCCCAGGCCCTGCTGTGAGATCGCAGGAGTAGGGCGTCTTTCCCTGGGGATGGGCATCCGGCGCACACGGCCTGGGCCCTGCTGGGCGCTGGCTCTGAGAACTAGAACCCACAGGCAGGCTGTGTCTTGTCCTCTGCATCCACCGCGGCCAGCTCTGAGGTCACAGAGGATCGGTGTGTCCACTCAGGTGGCAGAGAAGCCCAGGGGCGGAGCATGCTCATTCTGCCCAGAGCCCCTGAGCAGTGGCCCCATAGGCACGTGGCATTTGGGAGGCAGATGTCTCCACTGGACCCTCGGGAGAAGAGGCAGAGGCATGCAGTGACAGAGACCTTCTCTCTGCTCGAGTGGACTGGCCTCCAGTCCTTGCTGAACGAGGTCCCCAGTTCTGGCCTGTTGGTGGCAGGGCTGGGGCAACACCTGGAGCACTGTGTTGCAGGCGAGGCCAAGCCTCCTGTCCCATCTGTGACCTGTGACCTGTGGCATTGAGGACCATTGTGAAGGGTCACAGAGGCCAGGCAGCAGGAGCAGGTGGGCAGCAGAAGCTCTCCCTGCTGAGTTGGCAGCGTGACCACAGACGGCAGGGGACAGTCCAGGTCTGCATTCTGTTGTAGGAATGCAACAAGACTGCGTTCTCGAACCGAGTCTGCCAAAGTTGCTGCTTTGAAAACTACCCTGTCAGGAAGGGTGACCGTGTCATCCCAGCCGAGCCCTGGGGACTTTTAGTTGTAAATAGGCTTCGGTCTCTTAACGCAGCTGGGTTTTTGGCCAGACTTGAAAAGATTTGGAGCTGCACTGCCCCACAGCCAGCAGGCCTAACCGAGGCAGGACTTATGGTTTGCAAATGAAAACTCAATGCCCACTCAGGCCGCCCTGGTGCTAGACCTGACCGGGTGCGGCGTGGGACCAGAGCTGCACCTCACATGTGGCTGCAGCAGCTGCAGGTGGAGCCCGTCCACGAGTGGCGGGAAGCGCGGCCCGTGGGTATCTTCAGGTCTTCTCTGCCGTCCGCCATGCAGCAGGAAGGCAGACTGGAGGGCGCATGGTGGCCACCCAGCTTGGGTGGACTCACTGGATCAAGCTGCAGCCACAGCTCTCCCATGCCTCAGTGTCCTTTTCCAGAGCCACAGCCAGGCCCCTGGGTGTCAGGAGAAGCAAAGCAGACCCCAGAACCAGTGGGGGAGGGGTTGGCCCTTCTGCCAGAGTGGGGACGCAGCAACAAGAGGAGGCACGCTTCCTGAGAGCAGCTGCAGGGAGCACTGCGCTGTGCAGTGGGCCTCCGGAGCCCAGCCGTGTCCTGTCTCGACCTCTTTAGATGTAGGCTGTCAACTGCTTTAGTCACCTCCCTGTTTAAGTTTCAGGTTAGTGAGGAGGTGGTGTCCTTGAGTTTCCTTGTGAACCTCACCAGGATCAGCCCCTGCCCCCGAGTGTGGCACGGACTCGGGGTATCCCCTGCCACCTGTGAGCTCACCCCAGCTGGCCATCCCTGCTCATCTGGTCACATCTCAGACTGCGAGGACCCATCTCGTGGCTCCCTTCTCCTGTTTTCGCACCTCTGCTGTGAAGGGTGTACACTTGGCCCTTCCTGCAGTGCCTGCGGCAGGGATGGCATCCTGGTGACCAGCCCTGAGCAGGCGGACAGCCACAGCAGGACGAAGCCACAGGAGGGTCCCGGCAGGTTCTCTGGGGACGGGGCAGCCACAGCACACAGCAGAGCCGCTGCCTGTCATCCCCCGCCTTGGCTTGGCCCTGAAGCCAGGCTCTTTGCATCCAGGAGGGGAGTAATCTGGCTCCTTTGGCAGCCTCTAGGCCTGGCCTTCCCAGGACAATGCTGTCCCTGGGGGGCCCAGGGCGGTTGGGGGCATCTCTCCCAGCTGTTGCCTGGGTCCAATGAGACGGCTGCACTGAAGCCTCCAGAACCGAACTGGGCCGGCGCCCCGTGCAGACAGCAGCCGGTCTTCAGGACGGGGCTGCAAGGTGAAGGTGCTCTTTTGACAATTGGAAACCCAGAGCCTAGAGGTTCCATCTTTGAAAAGGACAGTCCTGGCCAAACACACTCAAGACTGTCTTCAGTCCTGTGAAGGCGTTTTCAGACTTGCTTTGATGATGAAGCATCATGATCTCCCGGTGGAAGATCCCTCCCTCCCCATGGCGGGACCAGTGTCTATCAGGAGGCCTCTTGCCCCTGCAGTGGGCAGAAGCCTCACAGGCCTGGGCTGGGGATGAGGACGGCACAAGCACAGGTTTCCTGCCAGCTCTGGAGTTCCAAAATGAGTAGTCAGGGGTCGATTTGAGACAGCTCCTTGAGTGACATTATATGAGCTCGTGAAGGCACAGGCCAGTCCCCACCCAGGGAAGGCATGAGTCCCCGTATGTCTGGCCCAGGCCCTGGGTGGCCGCTCAGCAACCCCTTGTGCACAAGGGACATACCAGGGTATGGCTGCTTTGGGGCCCAGGCCCAGCCAGGTGCCCACAGAGACTTCTCTGCAAACCTAGCAGTGTCTGATTTCTGGCTCTCACGTCAGGTGGGCCTTAGAAATAACCGTCTAGGGTAACAAAGTAATTCCATGCACACTGTTCGCTGGTTGGAGTGCAAGCAGCTAGCAGGGCTGACGAGCTGTCCCCTGGGGTTGGGGCTCATGCTCACTCCTCCTGGGCCACCCCAGTCAACTAGTCAAAGCTTTCAGTTAAATGCAGTGTGGAAAGCCCTAATTTGAGGAGACCTGACTAATTGTAGTGTGCCCTCTTAGCTATAGTCATAGCGGCAGGGCTGGGCTCAGGGCAGGGACCCAACAACCTGACATCCTTGAGCTCAGAGCCTGGGAGTAGTAGAGAGAAGGGCACCTCAGAGAGGGCAGGCACACAGTGGGACTCCGCGCCGTCACTCTCCATTTTCTACTTAGTGTGTCTCGGCATGTCTGAGAAGGAAACCAGCCCAGGTGTGGCTTGTGTCTGTGCTGATGAAGGGCAGATGTGAGGCTGCACAGTGCCTCAGGGGTGGTGACAGTAACCATGTTTCCACAGGTGGATAGTGACACCATATGGAATGAGGTGCACTCATCAGGGGCAGCTCGTCTGGCCGTGGGCTGCGTGGTGGAGCTGGTCTTTAAGGTGGCCACTGGAGAGCTGAAGGTCAGTGGGGGCCCTGGCAGAGCTGGGCTGCAGAAGGCAGGTCCAGAGAAAGTGTGGACCCTTCCCACACTGGGGAAGATGCGCAGGTCAGAGATTCTCAGAGATCAGTCTTGGGAACCTCTACGCTCTAACAGGTGCTGAGGACCTAAGGAGCTCATTTCCATGTCGTGCCCTGTCGGTCACATTACAGATTAAACCTGAGGAACTTTTAAAATACTGTGTTAAAGCACCAGTAGCATCTGGCATAGTGGACGGTGGCATCAAGCACTCCTGTCTTGTGTCCATCTGTGGCCACACCTTGAAGCACGGGAGCATCATGGCCTGGCATGGGTGTGCAGCTGGAGAGGCAGAGGCGCTCGACAGCCTGCGCTAGGCAGCTGGCGGCAACTCTGGAGACCACATCTGGGCCTCACCTCCAGTGCTGGGGACAAGCCCAGCACCCTGGGACTGGCTGCAGACCTTTACCCGTGAAATCCCTATCTCCTGTAGACACAGTAGTGCTCCCTTTTTGAGACCGTGGCCTCACGGCCCATCTCACCAAGAAATCCTGGAGCTCGGGGAGAGTTGTTCCACTTGCAGTGCAGACAAGGTCTTAAAACGAGTTGTTTTCACTCAGAAGCTCGGGTTCTTATCATGGACAGCCACTGCCTGCTGCACCTTGGAGGGCGCCCAGTGTCCCTGTGCTGGACAGCCTGTCTTAGGTTACCCAAGTCAGAGCTCCAGCAGTCTGCTTCTGCCCTTCTTGCAAGGCAAGAGGGTGCCCTGAGCCAAGGAGCTCGCTCAGCTCCCAAGACCAGTGGCACATGGCCTTCCCCAATAGTCAGCGCATGCTGCCCCCAGGGGGCCCTGTACGCCTTTCTGGTTTTGCACCAGGTTCTGCAAGCCATGTGCACAGTGCGGAGATTGAATCCATGTATAAGTTTTACTGCTTCATTGAGGATGCTGTTGGGAGGAACGGCCTCCCCTTCCCGGCAGCATGCGGCAGCGAATGCCTAGGGGCTGCTGCTGCTCCCTGCTGCTGCTGGCTTGGTCAGGCTCGAGCAGCCTGCCCTCCAGTGCGCTGCACCATCCGCAGCTGTCCTTACAGCCGGAAGGCAGATAGTGCCCAGGGGCCGTGGGCAGCATTGAGAGCCACTGCACAGCACAGGAACGGAAATGGGTTTTGCAGAATTGAGTCTGAGGGCAGGGTCTACCTCGGGGTCTGCCTTGTAGCCTCACTGCCACTCTTCTCCTGTCCTGATCCTGGTCTCCGGAGCTGGCCTGCTCCTCACCCCCCAGCACAGTCATTAATTGTTGGTTGGTGGCCCTTTTTGAGACCTTAATATTATGGAGCTGACCACATGGCTTCCTGCTGCTGATGAGACACACGTTGGAGCCATTTTTATTACAGCAGCTAGGAGGGGTTTGCAGATGGCATGAGGAGAGGCATGCAGCCACGCCAGTGCTGGTCTCTGAAGCACTTCTCCTGGAGTTGCCCACTCCCCAGTCGTGCCTGTCAGGGCCAACGGGGGCAGCCCATGCCAGCAGGGCCCCTTCCCTTTCAGCCACGTCCAGGTCTCCACCAGTGAGCACCAAGGGCGCCCCAACTGAGGTGCTGCAAGTCTGACCCGCAGCCCCACAGCAGGAAGCCAAGGCAAGCCCTGGACTTGATGTGGGCGCCTGGCTTCCCCCGAGGCCCCAAGAAGCAGCAGGCCTCTATGCAGATGGCCCAGACTCCCTCGGAGGCCTCAGCCAGTGCTGTGCCCAGGCCAGGCCACCAGGTGGCAGGGAGCGCCCCTGGCCCTCTGCGTCTGCTGAGAGTGCTTGTCAGGTTTTCCAGAGGATCTGAAACGGCTTTTCCTCTTTTCTCGCCGTCCCCCACCCCACCCCCTGGTCTGACACGGTCTGCAGAACGGCTTTGCTGTGGTCCGCCCCCCAGGACACCATGCCGAGGAGAGCACACCCATGTGAGTGGGCATGGTGGGTGGGCGGGCAGGGCCACTGGTGGCTGGGTGCTCTTGGTCTCCCTTCCATGGCTATGGTAGCCCTTGCAGCTCAAGAGCCACAGGGCGGCTGAACAAGGCAGACATTGGAGCCTGTTGGCCTCCCTGGTGAGCATGCTGGAAAGGCGTCAAATAAAAGAAGAAAGGCGGCAGGGTCCTTGAAAACAGGACTAGCAAGGTCTCTGGAGGCCATTGGCCATGTGCTTTGGGAGCACGGCTTGCTGGGGCCGGTCCACAAGGCACCACTGTTCAGGGCATTCACCTGGGTGCACTGGCCGCCTTGCGCAGGACCTTGAGCTGAGCTGCCACTGTTGAGTGCCAAGGAGGCCAAGCTGAAAGTTGTGTCCAAGGCCAGCCCAGGGCTCAGGGATCCTGACCACTCACACATACAAGGGTCTGAGTGTGGACGCCACAGTGTGGAGGAGAGCAGCAGCCGCAAAGTCAGCATGGACTCTGAGAGCCTTCACGCCAGAGGCCATCCCCACCCAGAGGAGTGCCACTCTGCACGGAAGCAGGACAGTGCCCAGTCCTGCTGGAGAAGGAGGAAGATATGGCATTGGAGCTGGGCTTGGGAAGGGCAGCAGCTGGCCTGCAGGCCAGACAGAAGTGCTTGCCAGGGAGGAGCAGAGGCGCAGCGGGACTGGGGCAGGCAGATCTGTGCTCTGGCAGGGGCTCTCTTTCTCATGCAGAGAAGAGGTGGTGGCCTCCTGGAGGGAGCCCTGGCTGGAGCTCTGGCCTTACTTGGAAAACCCTGTGGTTGTCGAAGCCCAGAGCCRGCCTGCCCGAGGCCCCCCTTCTGCGGCCTCCCTTCTCCAAAGTGACTTCCCTGATGTGAACCTGAGCTGTCGGGTTCCAGGCAGCAGGGATGGGAACCGAGTCCTGGCAGCAGGGTTTTTGGTGACCAGATGCCATCGCAGCCCAGCTGAGTCAAGGGTGCTCGTGCCTTGCTGGGGCTTCAGGACAGCCATGCGACTGTCCTGTGGGGATTGAGAGCTGAGGTCAAAACACGGTGGCTTGTGCTAGAGCTGCCTTCGCTTACTTCTTGGTCTTGAGTAAGATCCTTCAGCTCACAGCTCACTAGCACTGTGATGGGCACTGGGATGTGGAAGGGGAGCCCGAGCAGCTGCTCCGTGGGTGTAGGTGAGATGCAGGGGCCAGGATGAGCCAAGGCGGGTGAGGGGCCTCCCACCACGGAGGTACAGTAGGCCCTCGTACACAGAGCCTCCAAGCAGGAAACTGGTCTGTGTCTGTGTGGTGTTGGCGTCTCTCGGTCCACACCAGCTCAGGTGAGTCCCCAGGTGCTGGTCTGGGGCCTTCTCCAGAGCTCTCAGAATCGCAGAACAAGAGGGCTCTGCCGCAGGCTGGGCACAGGTGAGAGTGAGTGCTGTCCGCTGACCTTCTGCAGGGGCTTCTGCTACTTCAACTCCGTGGCCGTGGCGGCCAGGCTGCTGCAGCAGAGGCTGAGTGTGAGCAAGATCCTCATTGTGGACTGGGTGAGTGGCACGGCCCCTGGAGGAGCTTGCTTGCTGCAGAGCTGGGCGGGCGGGGCTGGGGAGGGCGGGTCTTCCCCTCCATCAGCTCTTGGACTTGGGAGCTTTGCCTTGTGGCAGCTGCCTCAGAGATCAGAAAAGGAGAGCTCCACACTGTCAGGAGTCCACCTGATGGCCTCTGCCAGCGGGCGGTGTGTCCTGGGCTGCCCCCTGCCTAGAAAGGAGCCTTGGCCCCAGTTGGGGCCGTCTGCCAGCCTTGAGCTCAAGCCTGGAAGAGCTGGGCGGTGAGGGCCAAGCTCCAGGTCCTGTCCTGCCCTGAGCTGGCTCTCCATTCTCTCAGGACGTGCACCACGGGAATGGGACCCAGCAGGCTTTCTACAGTGACCCTAGCGTCCTCTATGTGTCCCTGCACCGCTATGACGATGGGAACTTCTTCCCAGGCAGCGGGGCACCTGATGAGGTGAGCAGCAGGGTGGGGTTTCCGGGAGGCTCTGCAGGTGTGGGGCTGTGCAGCCAGGTGGAGGCCAGCCACCTGCCCATGTGGCAGAGCAGGGTCCCCATGGCTGAAGCCCAGATGGCCGTTCCAGGCAGACCCCAGGCTGGCTCCACACGTGTGTGCCAGGCCTCTCTCTCTGAAGTACAGGAGACCCCGACTGGGCAAGCGGAAGTCCTCAGGACTGTGGGAGCGAGGCCGGGGCTCCTCCTCCAGGAAGGCCCTGCCCTGGGTCAGCCAGCCCTCCAGGCCCTGTCCTCAGGGTGCCCTCCCGCAGGAGCCCGCCCAGGCCTGTTGCCCTCAGTGCTACGTGGCAGGCTGGGTCACAGAGCTGGCCTTCGTACTGAACACAGGTCCTGGAGTCAAGAGAAGGCGCCCCGCTCTAGGTCCCTGCTTGAGAAGAGGTGGGACGCTTTCCAGGTGTCCTCCACCCAAAGGCCCTGACRAGCTGCACATGGACCGGAGTAGCAGGACCTCAGGAATGCCCCTGTGTGGGGCCCAACAGGCCCCTCCCTGGCCCAGAGGCCAGCCACAGCTGCCGTTCCTGCAGCTTCAGGGCCCGCAAGGCCTACAGTGCTCCATGGAAAGTGCTTCATCGCTGACTCAGCGTGTCGGGCCAGCTCTGCACACGCAGAGACATCCTGAGGGCCCAGGACACACAGGCTGTCCCTGTGGGGACCCCAGGACATGCCCCAGCCCAGTGCCACCTGCAGTAGGTGTTTTCCTAGAGGGTCTGTGACGTGGATTTCTTTCCTTTGGCCACAGGTGGGCACAGGGCCAGGCGTGGGCTTTAATGTCAACATGGCTTTTACGGGTGGCCTCGACCCCCCCATGGGAGACACAGAGTACCTGGCAGCCTTCAGGTGAGTCCCTGGATTTTCCCAGCAGCCCTCAGCCTGCATGGAAGAGCTGTTACAGAGACCCAGTGCTTGGGAGCAGGGGTGGGACCCTGCAGGACCAGCTCAAGTGCCCAAGTGTGACCTCTGGGACTGTCCACTTACTTGTTCCTAGTTTCCCATGTGCCAAATAAAAGGACTGCATTTGCGTCCTGATAGTAAGAAAGGGAGGGGGACAGAGGTGAGGGCTTTCCTGCAGAGGGGGAGGGTACTGGGGTCACTAGTGGAAAGACCTCCCTGTTGCCTGTTCTCTTCCACGCCCCTGTGCCGTGATGTGAGATGAAGTGAAGGCTTTTCCTCCACGTGTAGAGGTCAGGAGGCAAGACCCTGCTCTCATCCACCTCCCCGCCCGCCCTCTGGTCGGCAAGCCTGGCGGCAGGCAGGTGTTAACTTTTGTCACCCGAGGTCACAAACTGAAGCAGCTCCTGGGAGAAGAGTGGAGGGCCGGGCAGTATGGCGTCCTCACCAGTGTCAAGTGGCTCTTCTACAAGGGCAGGTTCTGCCCCCCTGGTGCTGTGGGCTACCAGTGAGCAGTCACAGCCCAGTGGGTTCTGGCCCTTGGTTTTGGTCTGGCTGGGCCTGGCAGACCTTCAGTCTTATAGGGGGCAGTCGGTGCGTGGCTTCCAGATAGTCTCACCGACTCCCCCGCTCCAGGGCCGTCCTACCCTGAGCTGTGCGCACACAGGGCATTGCGCAGGACTTACCCGTGATGCCTGGCTGGGTGTGTGTACAGCTCTCTGTGTGTGCCTGCCTGCAGGTGGTGTCCACATGCCTGTGTGTTTCTGCATGGCGTGTGTGTGCACGTGTCTACCCCACACAGGTCCGTGGCTGTGTGCACATGCCTATGTGACATGTATCTGGGGATGTGAGGACATGTGCAGGCGTGTGCATGACTGGGTGAGATTGCACAGCCACACCTCTGTGAGAGTTTCTGTGCAGAGCACCCTGTGCTCTGGGTACCCTGGGTCAGTCTCATGCTCACCCTGAAGCAGATCCTGGTTCCAGTTCCCATGGGAAAGGTGGTTGGGTCTGCTGGTGCGAGTCCCCTGGTCACCTGTGGGTGACACAGAGGAGGTCAGCGGCTCGGCCTGGTCTGCAGAGACAGCAGCAGCCCATGCTAATGCCCATCCGCTGCCTTCCCTCCAGCCCCACCTGTGCACATGGTGTCTCCTGCCCCTGGCTAGCGGTGTGTAATGCTGACCCTGCTGCACCTCAGGTGAGACACCTGAGATCTGCACTCTGAGAGCTGAGCATGTGAATTGGGTGTCACATGTCCCATGCTGGGCCACGTGGGTGTGCCACCAGAGCCACGTTGCCAGCAGCTGAGTGCCCTGGGGACCCTCTGCCTCAGGTTCTTTCTCCCAGAAGCCTCAGGAGCAGCGGCGCCTGGCGGGATTCTCAGTTGTGCGCAGGCCTCTGGGGTGGAAGGAAGGGTGCAGGCCACACCTGGCCCGCCCTGAAGATGCACTTCCTCCCCAGGTGTTCTTGACCTGCCCTGTGTCCTGCCAGGCGTGTGCGTGATGGCACCTGGTGGAGAGAGCTCTTGGAAGTTTCAATGGCCTCTTTGAAAAAGAAAATTGTTTCAGCGTTTTTTTTTATTGATTTAGATGTAAAATAGCACTTTGAAGTTTACAATTTATGGTTCCCTGGGCACTGGACGGGGAGGAAGGGTCAGAGGCTGGTTTTCCCTTTTCTTCTTCAGCCGGCCCCTGCTGGGCGGCCCCATGGGACAGTGCCTGCCTCCAAGGCATCCCCTTGTTGTTCAAACCCGTGGCCTGCGAGGTTGAGCTTTGAGGGGATCAAGCCTTGAATGAAGAAAAGATAAGAAAATTGCTACTAATAAAATCCAGGAGCAGCCGGACACTCTCTCCTCAGGCTCGGAGAAGAAAAGGGACCTTAATTCACACCAGCCCCAGGGCCAGACAGGGCTTTGAAGTCTGCCGAGCGGAGGCCGAGTGCCCCTGCTTGGATGCAGACAACGCTGTGCGTTCTTGAGCCCTTCCCTCTGTCACGGGTGCGTTGGAGTTGGGGTCAGCTCTACGCAGGGTGGATTCAAATGTGGCCTTGTAAAGCCCTCCGGATGTCTGTGGATCTGGGTGCTCTAGAGTGGACAGGGCCTTCTCAGTGAGTGGCCATGGGCCATTCTACTCCCCATCTTCCAGGTTGTAGTGTGACAGTCACGGCCCCTGAACGCCATGGCACTGTCAATGCCTGCACTGACTTCAGACACCTGTCTCTGACTGGAGAAGCACAGGGCGGCAGGATTTTGACTGTGCAGAGTGTGCCCCCTCCAGGTGGCCTTGGCAGCCACAGCTCTGAGGTCAGCACTGGCCTGTGAAGGAAGTCGGGTCCGTTGCTTCCTCAAGGCAGCAGGGCCCCCACCAGGACACACAGGGGTGTCCTATGTACAAGTTTGCTTGGGGACATTGCAGAGTTATTTTAGAAGCAAAAAATTTAAGTAGAATTCCCAGAGTTGAGAAATCTCCTGCTTCACTAGCCATGGTGGACCTGCATGGCCCTGCCTGCCCACCAAGGTCCAGACAATGGAGAGAACCTTGGAGGGAGGCCGGCCCTGGGCAGCCAGAGGCTGCACACAGTGAGTTGGAGATGACCCCTCAGCCCTCTGCCGTGTGCCCAGCTTCCCGGGGGGGGCTTGGTGGGAAACGGCCTGGACATGCCTGTCTGACTTGGTCCTGACGGCTCTGTGAGGGCTCTGGTGCCTAGTGGCGGGTCTGCCTCCTGGTGGCCTGGCTAAGGTACCGGACATGGCGACGGAGCCTGGGGAGGAGAAGCCCAAGGGGCAGTGGGTGCCAGGAAGTACAGGGTGGGCAGGTGTCCAGTGGTCTCCAGCTGTAGGCCTGCAGGAGGTGCAGGGCACCAGGTGGAGAATATTTAGGCTGGGACACAGGGACCCTTGGACTTAGACTCCAGGAGAGTTGAGAAACAGTGAGCAAGTGTCCATCTGAGTTGGCAGTCGGGTGACCAGGAAGGACAGATGCCCTGGTGTGAGAAGAGAGACAGTACAGGCACTCTCCTGAGAGCCTGGGGAGACAAGCAGGTAGAGTCCAGCCCGTGGAGGCGAGGGTCGGACCTAGCGGAGGCGGCCGGGTGTCTGGGTGGGAGGGGTGCTGAGGAGTGGGAGTCCCGTGGGAGGCAGGGAAGCACCCTACTGTGGGGGCTGCTGCCGGGATCCAGTTGTTGCTGGGCCTGAGGACACCTAGGGAGCCCAGGGACTTTCCTGGCATGAACTTCATTTAATGATGAATTTAACAGGACTTGGTCGTGGAGGCAGGATTAGGAATTCAGTAGCTCAGCAGCCCTCAAAGCAGAGCTGAAGCCCACCTCAAGCTCTGCAGAGCAGCTGTGGGGGTGCTTCGCGGGTGACACGGTGTCTGCACTCACGCCTGGGGTTTTCACTGGAAAGGCGTCCTAGCTTCGCTGTCCCCAGCAGAAGCAGGAGGCACTGTGCTATTCTGCTTGAAGAAAGAGGTTATGTGATAAGAACTCCATTAAGATAATTAGAAACCAGCCCCCTGGGACTGTCTGGATGGTGGAAGCAGGGAGGGTAGCCTCAGAGGCCTGTGGAGCATGCCCTGGAGACCATCCCACACCACCAAGGCCACCTCCACCCTACTGCCAGCCAGGCCACCAAGGCTGCAGTTGAGCCACCAGGAAGGACTGCTGACAAGGTTCATGCATGGCTGGGCAGATGCTCTGCTCAAATGTCCCACACTGTGCCAAGCAGCAGTCAGCCTGCTGTGACAAGCCCTGATGGGCACGCAAACACCTCCTGCCTCTGGGGCTGGGTCCTGTCTGAGGAGCAGGACGGAAGCCGTGTGGGGCAGAGGTGGACAAACTGCAGCTCGTGAGCCGGTCCACAGGTTGTCTTCCCATGTTTGTATGCCATCTGTGGCTGTTTCCACAGCGACCTTGAGTGGTCCTGGCTGAGGCCACATGGCACCACAACTCACCATCTACAGTCAAGCCTTTGGCAGGAAACACCTGCTGACCCCAGCCTGGTAGTACCCAGCGTGCTGCAGAACCCTAGTGATGGCCCTTGGAGCCCCCCGACACCCACACCCACATCCTTCCCTGGATCCTTCTCCCCTGCTGCGGAGGCTGCCGGTACAGGTGCCCTCAGAAGGAGGAAGAACAGGGACAGAAGGAGCACCTCGACATCATGTCGGCTCTATGTGAGAGTCCCAAAGCCAACCAACCACACAGTACACGGGGAAAACTGAAAGTGTCCCTTTAAATTCTGGGACAGCATGCAGTTCCTAGAGGAAAAGGCAGGTCAGCCCCTGAAGCTCGGGGAAGAGTGCCAGGAGTTAGTAAATGCCATGGCATCGAATCAAAACGATTCTGCAGCAAAGGAAGGATCAGGAATGTGAAGACGGAACCTACAGAATGGGAGGGACTCTGAGCCAGCTGCTCTTCTGACAGCGGATCAATATCCAGAATATATAAAGAACTCAGAACAGCACCAGGAAAACACCCCCTAATAAATGGGCAAATGAATTAAACAAAAGAAGAAACACAAATGGTCAACAGACATGAAAAAAAATGTTCAACGTCGTTAGCCATCAGGGAAATGCCAATCAAAACAACACCGAGACTCCCTCTCACACTAGTCAGCCTGGCCGCCATCAAGAACACAGAACAGTGCAGATGCTGGAGAGGACCTAGAGAGAAAGGATCCTGCACACTGCTGGTGGGACTGCAAATCAGTACGACCGCTACGGAGATCAGTACCGAGGTGCCCCAAAGGACTGGGCACGGGACCCCCTGTGACCCAGCCGTACCAGGGTTTATCCTGGGGAATTCAAGTCCTTGCACCACGTGAGACACACACACCTGTGTCTGTAGCAGCACAGCCCACAGCAGCCAGACCATGGGCCCGCCTAGGTGTCCATCAGCACATGAGTAGATAAGGAAAGGTGCTAGAGACACACATAATGGAGTTTATCCAGCCTTGAAGAAGAAGGAAATCATGGCATTTGCAGGAAAACAGATGGAATCAGAGATCATTATGTTAAGGGAATGAACCAAACTCACTTTGTCAGGAGTTGGATATTTTCTCTTGTGAGGAAGGTAGAGAGGAAAAAAAAAGGTCGGGGGTAATCGCATGAAAATCTAAGGGAGAGCAATAGAGGTAAGGGACCAGGGGTGGGAGGCAGGAGGGAGGGGACTACTGGGGAGTGACAATACCAGGTTATATTGTCACATTGTGTACATGTGAAAATGTGCAACACAAACCCCAGGTCATGTTCAACTGTGAGGCACCACTAAGAAACTGGGGAAGAAGAGGAGGAGGAGGAGCGCACAGCAGATGCTGGGAAGCTCCGGGCTCCTCTGCCCGCTGGTTGGGACAGGTGCCACCACAGGCCCAGGTGGACTGGTGCTCTGCAGGCAGGCTTCTCGGCACCGACCGGAGCCGACTGAAGCCGCGTGTCCTGCTGTGCAGGGCACACGCCCCTTGCTGCTGTGGATGCTCACCCTGAGGCTTGTTGCAGCAGGCACACGTGTCCCCTGGCATTGGGGGTGAGGCACTGTAAGAGGCTTGTCCCTACTGCTCCTGCAGAGGGTGGCAGCCTCTCACTCCCACCCTCGGAAGCTGGAGGGGCTATTCAGTGGATCACAGTCTACACTGGCTCCCCTCAGCCAGGGTCCATGCCTCTGACTCCCCTGGGCTGAGGGAGAAGCCAGAGCGCTTGGTGTCCGGCCCAGCACCTGCCGCAGACTCATGCCACTGGGGTCCTCGGAGGAGGGAACGGCACAGCTGCAGGGCACCTTCCTTGGCCTGTGCCAGGAGCACAAACCCAGGTGCTCATCCTGGAGCTGGGGGACGTCCTTCACCTCCCTCAGGGCCACTGCTGCCCCCTGGAAAAGGGGCCTTGACGCCACCCACCTGTTCCCGGGAGACTGAAATGGGTGATGCTCATGGGCCAGCACAGCCACCCCGGCGGCACCTGAACCTGCATGGCTCTGTGGCTCCCCGGCCCAGCCGTGTCACAGCACGTGCCAGGTGCCGTGCTGCATCCTGACAGGCTGCTTTGTGCTTAGCTGGGGGTCCACTTCCCAAGCGGAATGCCTCAGCAGGGTCCCGACCCTCCCCAGGAGCTGACGCATGCTTACCCCTTCCAGAGAGCTCTCGTAGGTCGTCAGCTTGTCCCCAACCACCCTCGGAGTCCATTTTGTTTTGCACTCAACTTTGCATGTGGGTATGGTCCCTGGTTGTGTGCTTGGGAGCTCTGCAAGGGCAGGAAGTCCACACGGGCTGCCTCCCAGCAGAGCTCACGGTGCCAGGACCTTGACCATGCTGGGTTGAATGAAAGCCCCAGAACTGCCTTGTCCTCGTCCTTGGGCAGCAGGCAGCCTGAGCCCATGAGCCCAGGCAGGAGGAGGAGTGGCTCGGGGCAGGGCTGGAGGACTCGCCACACAGGCACGTGGCTGTACCCCTGCCTCCCCGTGTGAACGTGGCCAGGCTGTGCTGGTTACAGATGGCCTCCCAGTGTGTGCAGGGAGCAGCCTGTCATGCGGACCTGGGCTGTGGCTCTCCTGCGGAGCTTGTCAGCCTGGGTGGAAGAAATGAAGTGCACCATGGTCACACTTGGTAATCTCCTTCCCACTGACCGTGAGTGGGCCGAGAGCCTCCCTGGCCATGTGCTCAGCTGACCTGGTGACCCTTCTCTGGCCCTGCAGGACTGTGGTCATGCCGATTGCAAGCGAGTTCGCCCCAGACATGGTGCTGGTCTCATCGGGCTTCGACGCTGTGGAGGGCCACCCCACGCCTCTCGGAGGGTACACGCTCTCTGCCAAGTGTAAGTGGGTGTGCAGAGGTCACCTTTGCTATGTCCCCCACCGTCCACTCATGTTTATGACCCACTGTGTCCCTGTGTTAGGTAACAGGACGAGACGGCACTACAACCCTCCCTAGCTCTGGGTCCCAAAGAGCAGAGAGCAGCTGCGGGCTGCAGGGCAGGGGATCCCGGCCTGTGCCCTCGGGGCTAGCTGCCCGGGAGCCGGGAGCCAGTGCACAGTGCGCCTGAGGAGCATGCAGGCCCCAGAGCTGACACCTGCTCTGGGCGTGTTGGTTCTCTGGTGCTGCTGTGCCATGGGAGACGAGGGACGTGGGTGGGGTGGGGCTGGGAAGGAAGGCCACGTTCCCGAGCCCTCAGACACTGGCCACACTTACAGTGCTGGAGGAAGGACAGCTGGAGAGCTCTGCCCGTGACGGCTGTGGCCTCCCTCTGTGTTGTCACAGAGACTGGTCGCCTCCCCACCGACCAGGAGCTTGGAGATTGCTCTGTGGCTGGAGCTTCTCAGGGCCATGAGGCCTGTCCTGGTGACTCCCCGTGAGCTACCCCTGCTTCTTGCCCTCCATTGGTGCAGAAGGTTAGGGTGGTCGTGGACACACCAGGGCTGGAAAGGTGGAACCTAGGTGGCCTGAGGGTGGCTGCCCTTTAGCACAGGCCTCTTAAAGCCCATCTGCCCTAGCCATGGTGGCTAACAAAGTGACCGGGCAGAGGCAAAGAGCGCCACTGTGCCTATCTCTGCAGTGTCACCCAGGGTGCCCTCCTACCACAGTCGGAGTTCTCCAAGGAGACCCCACAGAAGCCTGCAAGCCGTGGCACTGTTTCCACCAGACAGACCAAGTCTTCTGGAAGTCGGGCCCACCATGGTCTGCAGCTGGCACAGGGCCAAGCCAGGATCGTGGCCACTGGTTTATTAGGGTTCCTCTGGCTCTGTAGCAAGCCAGCCTCCAAGGCTGGTGACTATTGCTGCCCACCAGGAGCCCTCTGCCAGGCTGCTGCTGTGGGTGCAAGGGAGACTGTGACTTGCCCCCAGAGCAGATGCCCAGATGTGGTGTAGGAAAGCCCTGTGTGGCACAGGTGGCCTGGGCAGTACTGTGTGCAGAGCACATCAGTTGCCAGAGGGCCCATGGGCCTCAAGCAGGATGATCTGCTGCATTGCAAAGTCCAAGGCTGAAGCCACGCCTCACTCAGATCCAAGGGACCCTGGGACCATCGCTCCTCCATGGTCTCTGCTGGTGTGGCGTCCCTGCCTGCCTTCCTGGGAGGCTCTGACCCACCGCCCAGCTTCCCTCCCTGTGAGTCCCTTTCCTGTTGCAGGTTTCGGGTACCTGACGAAGCAGCTAATGGGCCTGGCTGGTGGCCGGGTCGTGCTGGCCCTCGAGGGAGGCCATGACCTGACGGCCATCTGCGACGCCTCTGAAGCCTGTGTGTCTGCCTTGCTGGGAAACGAGGTATGGAGACCTAAGCCCCCAGAATGTTTCGTACCGCGGGTTCCAGGCCCGTGTGCCCAGGAGCTCCGGTCAGGGGACACGGAGTCTGTGACCCTGTGGGCCGCTTCACTGGGCTCTCAGTCCCGTGCTGAATTCTCTCCCCTTCTGCTTTGGCAGAAGTCTGCGGTGCCAGCAGCAGCAGGAGAGGGTGGGAGGCAAGCAGGCCCTCCATCTGCAGGCGCTGCTTGCCCACTCCCCGCCATCTTGGTCACCTCGAGGGCCTCGTGGTGGGAGTCTGGCCTTATCTATGCTGCTGGCCCCTTGGTGCACAGTTGGTTTCTGTAGGGAATTCTCAGCTAGTTTGGAGTCACGTCTGTGGGTCCACAGCCAAGTCAGTGTCTCGGGGATGGACAGGCCCCTTCCCCAGAAGCCTTTTCCGCCATCTGAGAGCCAGGGTCAGGGATGGTGGTTGGAGGCCAGTGTGAGGTCACCTGTGGCCTGGGCTCCATGAACTCGTGGAGGATGGGACTGCCCCAGGCTGTGTTCACCATATATTGGGAGCTGTGGCATTACCCTGCCCACTGGGCTGCACACCAGGCCCCTAGTAGGAACACTGTAATGGCAGAACCATCCAAGAGTGTCCATGGTACATGGCAAGACCCCAAATGTGCAAGGCCACACCTATGTGCAAGACCCTGAGCTTGTGTTATGGAAGGCTCAGGTCAGGCATCCCGGCCATGTTGTATGGAGGAGAGGTCACCCACAGACCTGGCTCTGAGGACACCCCATGGAGTCAGAACTCTGGGCTGCAGTCCTGGGCCCCGGCCTCTGGCCATCTTCAGAGCTAGCGGAGAAGCTGGCAGGGGTCCGTGTGGGTGGGGCAGGGCGCCAGCAGCCCTGTCCTGTCTGGCAGCTCTTCCCTCGTCTTGGGCAGCCCTTGTTTTGATGAGAATCTGGAGGGACGGAGATGCGAGTACGTCCTGTTGCTGGAGCCTGCTCAGGGACCCCTGGGATGAAATAGCAGCCTGCCTCACTCTAAAATGTCCAGAATGTTTTCTTCGTCCTTCTTCACGTAATAGTCTTCTGACATTTCCCTGTAGTTCAAGGCACCTGGTGTGACATCAGCCAGGCCAGCCCTGCGCTTCTCAGAGCTCGTGACTAAACTGCCAGCAGAGAGCTTGGCTCCCAGCCCGGCCCCTTCTTGCTTCCTCATGCGTTTGCTCTTCTAACAAGAAAATGTTCTTTCACTTAAACACATCAAACAGCAGGAAGTGCTAGCTTTACTGAGGGCTCTGTAAAAACCTCTTTAGTTCAGGAGCGCTGGGCCAAGCCCCGATATTCTGCCCTGCAGCCTTTGATGAGGGTTGATGTACAGCGTGCCGCATGATTTGGCAGTACACACCAGGCGACCAGCTGTGGCCAGCAGCGGCCGCAGGGCGTTCAGCTGCTGGCCGACAGCAGCAGAGAGAGGCACCCTGCATCCTGCTGGGACAGCGGTCTGCCGCCTCCATCTTCAGGCCTGCTCTCCCGCAGCGTTGCCTTGACTAGTTCTGGTTTACAGTTGTTTGCAGCTGTCAATGACGATGTCTGGGAAGCCACGCAAAAGATGCTGGACTGTGCCGGGTTGGGGTGGGGCCCAGAGCTGTCAGCCACCTTCCTGGACTTGCTCACAAATCCTGCTGCAGCGGGCCGCAGGGGTCCCTGGAGCGGTCTGCAGAGAAGGCTCCTGGTTGGTCCGGGAGACCGTTTTTCCTGTGGGAGGCTGTCCCCAAGGTTGGCGCTCATCGGGCCCACTGCCTGTGTACCACCACTTCACTTGACCCTGCTCCAGGGTCAGTGGCGGACACTGATGCAGGAGGGTTTCATCCAGGCGTTTAGCTCTTCTGTGATGTCCTGGTACTTTGCAGGAGTTGTGGATGTAGAAAGCTGCAGGAGCCTGGGAAAGAGTGGCACGTGAGAGCCTGGCCAATGCACTCTGCGGCCAGCTGTCTCCTCCAGGGGTCCCTTGCTCTCACACGTGCTCAGCACAGAGGCTGCCTGCCTGCCTGCACGTGGTCTCCGTACCTGCACGGGGTCCCTCCTCCCACTGGCCACTGTTCAGAGCTAGTTGGCCAGCACCTGCATATCTGGGGCCCTCAGCCCTTGCCAGTCTGACTTGGGTGCAGGACCGTGGCCCCGAGCCCTTCAGGGCTGGCTCCGTGTTCTGCTCCACATACTCCCCTGTTGCCCAGCATGAGCGAGTGCCCTGCCGTTCCCCAGCAGACCTGGGCAGCACAGGGGTGTGCTCTCACAGCCAGCAAGCTCCCAGAGAGGCGAGTGCTGTCCACCCCAGGCATCGCAGCCTCCTCCTCCCAGGCGGATCCCAGCCCCTCTGAGGAACCAGGGGCTCCTCTGTCCACTCTGCATCTCAAGGGCTGGCTGGATCCTGCCCACTAGGCCCCAGCAGTCCTGCCCTGCCGGGACTGTCACGCTGAGGCTTGGGAGAGCCCCTTCACATTGCGTGACTGGTGGGTGGTGAGAGCTGGCCTTAGAGTGGCCTCAGGACCCAGCGTCTAGACTAGTCAGCAGGGGTGTATCCTCTGGGTTATGGACTGAGGCCRGGTTCTGCAAACTTTTTTTTTCCAAAAGAAACAGTAATTTTTAGCCCTTTCATAGTTTGTTTTTTAAATCTGTCTTTGTTGGGAGAGCACGGAGACCCGTGGCTGCCTGGTCCCTGGGCCTTGGAGTCTTTCCTGTTCGCCAGCCTGCAGTGCCCACACCCAGCCACCTGCTACCCTGGAAGGTGGGCTCTGGTGGCGCTCTCAGCAGCAGAGCAAGCCGCCCTGTTGCTTCTCTATCCGCGGGGCCTGTGGGCCTGAGGGCCAGGCCTGGGGAAACACCATCTGCTGGCCCTGCAAGTGCTCAGGGCCGCTGGACAGCTACTGGGGCCCAGAGGAGGCTCAGTGGAGGAGCAGTGAGAGCTGAAGGCCCAGCCGAGAGTTCCCCACGATAGCAGCTGCACCCCTGGAGGGAAGGTGCAGGGTGAGGGAAAAGGAGCCTCAGGATGGCTGCCCATGCCTCTAGGCAAGAGGCCGAGCTCGGAGGGCTAGGGCGGGGCCTGCTGCAAAGGCTGCTTGTCTCCCGAAAGTGAGGCAGAGGCAGCACCGCCAGCTGATGGTCTGCGGGGTCTGAACTGGAAAGTTGGGTTACAGGATACTCTCAAACCTGACCAAGCCTGGGCCAGTGGCCGTGGACTCACCCTGAGCCTCAGGGGTTGACAGCCTGCCGCTGGCCCTGAAAGAGGCTTCTGGGGGGGCCCAGGTTCAGGTGCCCAGAGGGCCGGCAGATTTGGCAACCGCATTGTTGGAATCCATTAAGGTGGCAGGTGAAGTCGTACAGAGTAGAGCCGAGTGTCCTGGCAAGCACCAGCTCTGACCAGAGTGCTGCCGGGGAGCTGTACGACCTCGGCATGCTCTTCACTCTTGACTCCATTTCCTTATGTGATGAAAGACAGTCGGAGTTCCCGGGTCCCAGCCTGGCCAGCAGCCCTCCCTAAGTAGGGCACACAGAGGCTCAGGTGACAGCCTGCTTCAGTACTGCCCTCCCTCCCTCCTGCATCCACAGGGCCACCCTAGCCAGCCACACGCTTCCTGTCTGTTCTGTCGGTCCTGGGAGTGGCTGGCACTGGCCACCTGTCTCTGGGCTGGCCATGGGCAGGCCTCTTCACCTCCACAGCCCTCTGCTGGGTGGTCACCATCCCCAACTGCTCCCCCAGGAAGCCAGGCTCTTGGGAAGAGCCACCTTCCTGTCTCCTCCCAGGCCTGGAATCCATAGCTCAACCCCATTCCTCAAAGCTGTCTTCCCAGGAGGCCAGACTCCCACTCCCGGGCAGGACTCCCGCTCTGGGGCCCCCCACCCATCCTGCAAACCTCATGCCGGCTATGGTCTGCAGCCCCTGTCCTGAGCAGAGCTGCGAGGACAGTCAGTCCCTGTGGACTCCTGGTCTCTTCCTCTGAGCCGAGAGCAGCCCCTTCTCCCCACTCCCTCCCACCTGGGCACAGTCTGCCAGGAGGGGCCCCTGCCCTGCTTCCAGGGCCACCCAGCACCCAGAGCCCTGTGGCTTCTTCAGTCCCCACTGCTTCTGGCTCCATCTGAGGAGGGACGGAGCTGCTGCCCACCCTGCGGCCTCACCTCCCTTTCTCCACTCCCCCTCCAGGAGCCTGGACTGTGCTCTTCCTGCTGCCCCTCTGAGGCCTTCCTGCCCACCCACCTCACCCCCCGCACATCCTGCCCGCTGCTTTCCCGGGCACCTAGTCCCTCCTTCCACTCATTGCTTGACTTGCCTACTAACTGTCCCGGGGTGTTGGCTCCCTCCCCCAGCGTGACGCTCTTGGTGGCAGGCGGTGGCAGGGTGTTCACGCATCCCTAGTCTCCAGGCAGTGGTCGGTGCTTAGTAGGCTGCTTGTAGGATTCATTAAACAAAAGAATAAGACCGATTAGGAAGGGGAGACCCCGGAACCCAGGACGTCTTGCCCTTCCCTGCCCTGGTCTTAGAAAAGGCTGGTGGCTGCAGAGCAGAGCTGTCGACCGTGGGCGTGGGAGAGCCTCTGAGGCCACCGCAGCGCCGGGCCACATGAGCTCTGAGCCAGCGCCTGGATCACAGCCCCTCTTCCAGCCCCGGGTGTCCCGACACTCTCTGACTGAGGGGCGCGGCTCAGCCACTGCTCCTGCGCGTCCTGGGTCGGCATTCTCCTTCTGGGGACACAGGGTGGAACCGCGTTCCTCTGGTTTTCTGCCAGCCCAGAGCATCTCTGGCACGGCCTTGAACACTGCCCCTGTCTTTTCTCTTGGCTTTTGGTGACTCGCTGCCACGGGGAGATCTCCCAGAGCAGCTCAACCCCAGTCCTGAGAGCTGTCCTCCCAGGAGGCAGGACGCCTTCCCAGAGCAGCTCAGGGACGTGCCGTTGAGGACTGAGGACTCTGTCTCCATTTGCCCAGGCGTGGGCCACAGGCATGTGACAGCTTGGTGCAGCAGCTCCTGTGTCCATTCTTTATAGGCCTGTGCCCTCTGCTGGGGACAGAGATCCGTGAGCCCCAGGTGGCCAGCCTGAGGAAGGCAGGCCCTGGGTGCTGGGAAGGACACAGAGCTACGCAGGCCAGGCAGAGGCAGGCCTCGTGGCCTGGGAGGCACAGACAGGACTGTGGAGCCTGCCGCGTGCCCGGGAAGACCCAGGGTCCTGGCAGATGGCCCAGAGCGCCCTGTCGGCGCTGAGCGTGCAGGTGGCACCCCCAGAGCAAGTTGGCAGGTTGGGGGCTGAGGGGTGCTGAGGGGCTTTTTGTTAATGGGGTCTCACTATTTCTCCCAGGCTGGTCTCGGATTCCTGGGGCAAAGGGTCTTCCTGCCTCAGCCTCCCGAGTGCCGGGACCACCCCGCCCAGCCGAGGGCCTTCTGTGTAGGATGCCGAGTTCTTCACGTAGAGTTACACATTTTCAGGTTTTTAGGTGAGAATGCTCTGTGGAGTGCTGCAGCTGCGGTCCTGACGGCAGCGTCCAGGGTGGGGTGACCGTGTGCTGTCACTGGTCTGCAGCAGCTCTGACCCCAGAGTCCGAGGCCTGTGCTTTGCCCCTGCTGAGGGGGCTGGGGCTCTACTCCGTCCACCTGCAGGAGGGACCTCGGGGACCGGCACCGTTGAGCGTGGCTGTCTCTGTGGTGGAAGCACATGGCACTGCTCCCTGCTGATGGCGCCCCTCCCCGCCGTGGACACTCCTGGGTGGCTCCAGTCTGCTGGCTGCAGAGCTCTGGGCACGCCCATGAGCCCTTTGAACTGGGAGGCGCCCAGGAGAGGCAGCAGTGGTCCCAGCAAGTGCCTCGTCCACCTCGGCCGAGGGCTTTGAAAGTCATTCCAGCCGAGCCTGGCCTCCACATCCTGGCTTCTGAGGCCAGTGTCTGTCCACCTTGCTGTTGGCCTTCTCTTCCTGGGAGGTCACGGGCTTGTTCCCGCTGTGTTTGGTGCTCCCTGTTAGTTCTTGGGTCCGCGAGGTTAGTGGACAGCAAGGGGCCACACACTTGGCCTGAGCCGCCCCGCCCCAGGGCAGGCAGGTTCCACAGGTAGTGCCATCAGGAGGCACACTGTCTTTGGACGTGTGGCTGAGGCCACATCCTCTGTGGTCACTGTACCTGACCTTTTTTCCAGCTAGAGCCTCTGCCAGAAAAGGTCTTGCAGCAGAGACCCAACGCCAACGCTGTCCGCTCCATGGAGAAGGTCATGGAGGTCCACAGTAAGTGCCCGCCGTGTGCTTGTGGGGTCCCTTCTGGACGCAGGACTCCACGGTGCCCCGCCCCTCGTCCTGTCAGCTGCCCCCAGGCTGCCCACTCGGGCCTCGCCTTCCCGCAGTGGGTGGGCCTGCCCCAGAACCTACTGGGACAGTGTCGCCAAGGACTCGGACGGTGTGCCACGCAGTCCCTGGCCTCGTCCCCAGCAGCAGGAGCAAGCTTGGCTGGGCCTGCTCCTCAGCCCTGCAGAGGCCAGCACAGGCGCAGGCCCTTGTCCTCGCACTGGCCTCAGTGGCCACTGGAGGCGGGCCCACCTGTCTGGGCTGCACCGACAGTGCCTACCCTTCTCAGAGAGCCCGGGCCCTCAGGCTGTATAGGCGCCCAGTGGGCAAGATGGTCCAGTAGGGCGTGCACTCCAGAGGCCTGCTCTGGCCCCCACAGGACGTGGCTCCTGGCTGTGAGCCTCGCCACCGGGCTCCCCCAAAAGCTGCAAGGCCAGCCCACACGCAGCACCTGCCTCCCACAGACTGGCAGAGGCCCTGGGGTGGGCCTGGTGCCCGTGCTGGGAGCCCCTCGCCTGGCAGCTGGAAGGGGCATGCGTGAAGACGCTGTGTCTCGGGCCCAGACTGGGGCCCGCGGGACCTGGCAGTGACCCTGTCCTGGTGCCTCCTCCCTTCAGGCAAGTACTGGCGCTGCCTCCAGCGCCTGTCCTCCACCGTGGGGCGCTCTCTGATCGAGGCTCAGAAGTGCGAGAACGAAGAAGCCGAGACAGTGACCGCCATGGCCTCGCTGTCCGTGGGCGTGAAGCCCGCCGAGAAGAGGTGAGCGCCTGCCGCGCCCTGCGGCTCTCAGCTGGCATGGGGAGGTGGACAGGCGCTGGGCCCAGCAGCTCTGCAGCAGGTCTGGTCCACTCACAGGCAGCCGCAGCACTGGTGGGCACTGACCAGGGATGGGGAGACTGCTGCCAGGGCAGCAGCACGCCCACCCCCCACCCGCACTGCGCCACAGCGCCCGCTGCCCCTCTCCCCACACAGGCCGGAAGAGGAGCCCATGGAGGAGGAGCCGCCCCTGTAGCCGCAGAGCTGCTGTGCTCTCCTTCGTCTGTCTCGTCTTGAAGCTCAGCAAGAGACTTGCCCGTGTCACTGCATCCTCCTGCAGCGCTCTCGCAGCGCAGGGCCACAAGGCGTGCAGCGGCAGCGGGAGGCCATCTGGGTCTGGGCGCGTGCAAGGTGACCTGCAGCGTCACTGGACTCGGGCAGCGAGGAGCGGGCCAGACACGCGCCAGCCACGTGCACCCTGGCGTGCTAGGAGCCGCCAGGGATAAGGCTGTGGCAGCCTGGGCAGAGTGGCCGGGTTAGTTGACACACAGAGAGAAAGCGGAAATCAAAGACCTAACAGTACACGACACACTTGATTAAAACTGGTGCTTAAGTTTGATTCTCACCCACAATCCCACAGTCTCCGTGTAGACACTCGGCTCATCTTGTAGCTTTTTTTTAAGAGTAAGTTTTCTATGGCTCTGGCCCACCTCACGGCCCGGTGGTGCACCACGGGGGCCGCAGGTGCCAGACAGAGTTGGACAAATCTTTCAAGAAAATAACTGGACAAAACAGAACCGTGAGCCTGGGCATCGGCTTGAGCTTCTCAAAGCCATCGGAAGATGCGAGTTTGTGCCTTTTTTTTTATTGTTCTGATGGATTTTTGTGGCTGGGTTTTCTGAGTCTGAGGAACAATGCCTTAAGAAAAACAAACAGCAGGAGTTGGTGGGACCGTTTCCTGTGGGGTACAGCCTGGTGCTGGCCTGACGCTGTGAGGGCAGGTGGCACATGCCGCCGAGGGCCGAGGGCCGTGGTCTGGCGGCCTTGTTTGGCTTTATTGCTGTTTAAGGAATCTGGAGGTAGTTCCAAAAAAGCGGCAAACACTGTTGGGGTTTTGAAGTCCAACAAATTTTCAATGAATCCAAAGTGTTCTTTTTCTCATACGTCATGTAGCAATTGAGCATCTCCATTCGGTTGTGAAGCATGTCCTGGGCACACCTGCAGTGTCACGATCGGAATGCTTTTACTAAAAGCAGGTAGCATGAAGTATTGCTTAAATTTTAGGTATAAATAAATATATGCGTGTATAATATATATTCCAATGTACTCCAAGCTAAGAAACTTGATTCTTATGAGATCTTGATAAAATATTTATAATGCATTTATAGAAAAAGTATATATATATATAKAGAGAGAGAGATATATAAAATAAATGCAGATGGTGACAGTCCCTGGTGAATGGAGGACCTGTGGCTGAGCTCCGAGGTGCTTAGGGGACGGTCTGGATGAACCTCATTTGGAGCCCCAGCTGGCCGGCTTTCGGGTCAGATCACAGCTCACTCGTCCCTGGGCCTTTCCTGCCAGCGTGTACTTTAATTTTAATTATTTTCTAACAGAGCCCCTCCCTCTTCAAGCCTCCATGCACATATGTACCTAATGAGTTTTTATAGCAAAGAATATAAATTTGCTGTTGATTTTTTGTATGAATTTTTCACAAAAAGACCCTGGATAAACATTCTTTTGTGAATTTTACATTTTTCCTTACCATTTAGTAGTTTTCCAAATGGTGATAATGTCTAAATATTTTTTCTTTCTAAGTTCTTGCTTGTACTTTTCTTGACTTGGAGGTTTTTATTGTGTGTTCTGTACCGTGGGCAGAGTCTGCGGCCACCAGCTGGCTGGCAGGAGGGGCTGAGGGCGGCACCCCGCGCCAGCTCTCCCCGGTTCTGCCCAGTTCTGCCCAGCAGCCATACAGAAAGCCAGGCTCTGCCTGCAGCACTAGTAGTATTACGGGGTGGTGCGTGCTCCCCGGGCAGGGACAGCCAGGGCAGGGCCGGGCCGGGCCGCTGCACCCGTGAAGCTGTCAGGGTGGAGCTTGGCTCCAGCTTTCCAAAGACCTTTGAGGCACATTGGCCACTGTGGCTGGGAGCAGGCCCTGCCCCTGCAGTCCCTCTGTAGCCCTGCGGCCTGAGGGAGCCTGAGCTGGGGAACGGAGCCCTGTGCCTGCTGAGCTGTGGAGCATTCAGGTCCCTGAAGGGCCACCAGCCTGTGTCTGTGCTCTTTTTCTGTGACAGTAACTGACAGTCACTTTTTACTGGTAACTTATTTTCTAGCACTTGAAGCCACCAATTTCATTCCAAAGTGTGTCACATTTGGACTCCTGGGAGGAAGTTCCTATCTCAGAAGGGCTTCTGAGTGTGGTGAAGTTTACAGGGTAGACACGCAGCCAGACTGGACGGAGTGAGTGCAGATCCTGAGACTCTGGGTCGCTTGGCTGCTGTTGGTCAGTGTGAGACAGTGCTTGGAGAGCAGGAAGCAGGGCAGAGAGGTCTTGGGACTCATTGGCTCCCCCACTCCTTACTGGCCACTCTTTGTTCTGAAGCCCTCGGGGGCAGAAAGAGCTGGTCTGCAGGGCCCAGCGGCCCTTCTCCTTTTGTGGCACTGCATGGTGACTGGGCCCAGCAGCCAGCCCTTCTGACCCCTGGGTCCACTCTCTGCACGCCCCAGGGGGCCCTGACATCTGCCCTCTGCTGCCAGCGAGGCTTCTGGGGGGATGCAGAGTCTCCCTGTCCTTGAGGTGATGGGACAGCTGGGCTGGCTGGTGGCAGGTCAGCACTGGAGGGACTCACAGTCTCCTTCAGACGGAGTCGCCTCTGCCCAGAGCCTGGCCGTGCAGAAGCAGCACCAGGTAGCCTTTTATTTGGAGACACACTTGGCCCCTCTCCGTGGCCAGCCCCCAGGGCAGATGGCCGAGGGTCTGCCTGGGCCTCTGGGGCAGACCCCGGCAGGGAGGGCCCCTTTGTACATGTTCCCTGTCTGGTCCTTGGACCTGCCGCCTTTTTCTTCCTCTGAGAGGCCTTGGGGGTCACTGGCCAGGAGCCCATGAGAGCACTTTACATCCCTTTAAGGGAAACCCCAATCAGTGAGGCCACCGGATGCCTGGGGCCACCTGCCCTTGGGGCTTCCAGCTGCGCCATGACGTGCCCACGCCCCACCAGCAGGCCGCGCCCGCTGGGCCTGGCTGACCCCTGCATCCCGGGGCTCTGGTACCTGAGGGCCACTTGTCAAAGTGTTTCAGTTTTTCTTTACTTTTAGAGTCTGTTTCCAGGAGGAAGGTCGTTTTGCAGTGGTTCAGCACAGAAGCGGGCCTGCATCCTGCAGCGCAGCAGTGGACGTGTGTCCATGCTCCGGCAGAGCCTGCCTTCCTTGCTGGTGACAGCCACGTGCTCATTCCATTCTTCTTTTGTAGACTTTGGGCCCGCGTGTTTTATGGGCATTGATACATATATAAATATATAGATATAAATAGATGAATATATTTTTTTAAGTTTCCTACACCTGGAAGTTGCATGGACGGAACGCCAGCATGTCCTACATTGTATACAGATTTGCACGCCAAACTCGGCAGCTTGGGGAAGAAGAAAAATGCCTTTTTGTTCCCCTCTCATGACATAGAAACCCTTCTGTAGAACAAAACAGAACCTTGCAGGAGAGGAGAGGGGAGTTTGAGTCTCGTTGAACTTATTCTTAAAGAAATTGTACTTTTTATTGTAAGAAAAATGAAAAGGACTACTTAAACATTTGTCATATTAAGAAAAAAAGTTTACCTAGCACTTGTGACATACCAATAATAGAGTTTATTGTATTTATGTGGAAACAGTGTTTTTAGGCAAACTGCAGCTTCGGGGGAGGGGGGCTGCCCCCCCCCCCCCGCATTTGGTTTGGAGGGATTTTGTTCTGTTTTCTGTTGTTTCCTTTTCTTTCCTTCCACAGGCCAGGCGTGCACCGCCGCCACCGGCCATGTGACCATTTGTTCTGATTGAGAACTGGGGTCTGAGGACCCCCTCTTGTGCACACGCCTGGCTGTTGTCACGGGTGGTGTGCGGCCTGAGCGGCACAGGCGCTGGGCCGGGAGGCGTTCCCCCAGCGCCGCGTGGCTGGTTGGCTCGGCCTCACCTTGACGTTGATTAAAAGTCTCCTTCTCAAAGCAAGTGAGCAGTTCTGTTCTTTGGTGTGTGTGCTCCACGGTGCAGACACGATTCTCCAGTTTGTGAGAATGACAGACCTAAGTCATAGATCCACGCACATCCACACGGAGGGGCCGAGCCGGTTCACCCAAGAGCCTTTCCCAGATGTGGGTAAACAGGCGGGGCCTGCGTGGGCTCCACAGGCCACAGCCACCGCCAGCGCCTGCCACCGTTTCCTGACTGCCTGGACCTGCCCAGGCCCCTCTTGCTTGGTGGAGCAGGAGGCCTTGTTTTGGGATTCTCATCCTCACTCTGTTCTGTGTGGGTAATTTTTCACGAGTGCAGTGTCCTGTAGCCCCAGTGCACCTGTCCCTCTTGTGGTGTAAATAAAGTCTGCATTGATGCCTGCAGCTCTGGTCTCTCCCAGTTGCGCTCGCCATGGCTCCCTGCGTCTGGGGCCTTGCTGGGCTGACTCGCCCACACCCCAGGGATCCCTGGGCCCGGCCGGGGCCCTGACCTCTGCATGGGAGGGTCCCTGGGCAGTGTCTTCGTCTTAGACTTGCAGTACCTTGAATCAGTGCCCTCTACCCCCCTGAGTGGACCCGGCTGGAGTGGCCTCACGTGAATGAGGCCAGGGGCGGGTGGGGCCCAGGCCTGGCTGCTGCCCACGACTGGCACAGCTCCCTCCTCAAGATGCGAGTCCACAGGCGGCGGTCACAGCCCCTGTCCCTCCATGGCATGTCCTACTGCACAGCCCTGGGCCCCTGCCTCCCAGGACTCATCCACTGGGCAGTGGAGAAGCCCAGCCACCTCTGGCCAGCCTGGGCCAACTCAGGTGACTTCTGGTTCCAGCTGGCCTCCAGGAAGGCCTGCACTGCTGCCCTACAGGGCCATTTCCTCTCCCTCCTCTACCCTGTACCCCAGGGGCGCTCAGCACCCGCACCTGCCCCCAAGTCAGTCTCCTCAGAAGCTCAAGTGGCCACACTGGAGCTATGGGAGCAGAGCTGCCCAGGTGGCCTCCACGCAGCTGGACGCCCAGCCCTGGTGGCCCAAGGCCACAAGTGCCAGAGGCACCGCTGGCAGCTTAGGCTGCCAGACTCGGCCATCGGCTTTACCTGCCCCGCAGCAGGTGAGGAGGGGCCTGGCCAGAGCCTTTACGAGGCCACAGGGACTCCCCCCGAATGGACTCACTCCCTGGCGACCTCTGTGTCCAGAACAGGCTGAGGGGAGAGAGCCCTGAGTCCCGCTCAGGCACTCAGCTTCAGACGCCGTCCCCTCCTGACCCGTTCTGGGTGGGATGGAACCCAGGGCCTGGCTCATGCTGGGCCAGCCCTCCTCTAAAGTCATGGGCTGTTTCTGCCACGTCGAAAGAACGCCAATAAGACCCGAGGGCTGGCACGGGGCCCCACGCCCAGCCCCTCCCAGGCCCCCTGCCTGGGGAAGGGCGAGTCCACCTCTGGTCTTGCACTTTGGCACACTGCTCCCCATGAAAGCAAAGCCTGGTGTGTTTTCTAAAGCCCCGCCGTGGGGTGGCGCCGTGGTGCCTGTCTGCAGCTCGTGAGGCTGCTGGCCTATGCTCAGGATGCCCGCCAGGTGCTCGGCCTTCCTCCGCACCACGGCACCCCTGTGCCCAGCAAGGCTGCCCTCCATGTGACCAGGCCCCTCCCCACTCCTACCACGTGGGTGGGTTGTCCCTGGAGTTGTCCCTGTGGGTCACACTGACCACCACGAGGCCTGAGACTCTGGCCCGTCTGGCGAGTGTTCTTTGCTGTTTGGGTTTTCAGCTCACATGGCCGTGGAGGGCCAGCCACCCCTTCTGTGTGACAAACTACCCCAACTCCAGGGCTTCCAGCAGCAGATGCTGGGTGTTTCTGGGGTCTGAGTGGCCGGCCGGTCCTCTGGTGGGGGAAGGCCCCTCGTGCAGCCCCATGGTTGCAGCAGGTTCTCTTTCCTCGCCAAGCGGGCATCCCACAGGCCACCGCCCAGCTCGGCACAGCGTGGCCACAGCACGTGATCCAGACTACTGTCTGTGTCACCAGACTTGAGAGTGACATCCGTCACCCCTCATGGCTGGGGGAGACTGCCCTCTCCCGGGCAGCTGTCCCGTGGCACCAACAGCAGGAGGGCCACGGGCATGTTTTCAGGCTTGTGCATCTCATCTGCCAGCTCTGCCTTCAAGATGTATCATAGTTCCCCTGGCCACATGCCCTCTCTGTGCTTTGGCCCTGCGACCCCTGCCTGGCCCTGCCACTGACACCCTTGACTCTGAGCAGTGACCCCAAGACCCCAGGACCCTGCTGTAGCCTGCAGACCAGTCACTCAGCTGGACCCAGCTCTGCAGAGGCCAGCCAGGCTGCCTGCTTGTCTGTCTGTCTCACCTTCTAGAATGTCACTCCCGCCTGTCCCCAGAGAGCAAGGGCATCAGTCAGCCTGTCCCGTGAGCCTGGGCTCCACCTCTAGCCCCGTTGACCTGGTGGTCCGGAGGCTGGTCCTCCGAAAGGCGACGCTCTGGCCAGCCAGCCCTCAGAGGCCCCTTGGGTCTCATGAAAAGATGGGAGAGGGTTAGAGGACACCAGCCCCGGGCTGCGGCCGGGTGACCCCAGGTCTGTGTGTGGTCCGTCCCCCATGATGAAGCTATCGCAGATACGGCCACTTTGGGGAAGACAGGTTCCCACCATGTGAGTTCATCTGGTCCCACGGTACCCCAGCAGAATGTCCGGGAGCAGTCTCTCCTGCAGTAGGAGCCCTGCTGGCCACACAGGAGCAGCTCTGTCCATCCACCAGCTGGTAATTGAGGGGGGACACCCGTCCAGACAGCCCAGGCAGATATCCAAAGGAGGAGCCACCACAGGCCCGAGTGCCCTCCTCCTGCCTCCTCCCTCTGCCTCTGCTACCCCCACTCCTGTCCCCTCCCACCCTCCAGCTCTCTCACTGCCCAACAGTGGCAGCTCCCCTAGTGTCAGCAAAGAAGCCGAAGCAGGTAACTGAACCCAGGTCCTAACAGCTACCAGCTCCGAGCTTCAGGTAGAGACTCAGTAAAACACCACCCCTCCAAACCCAGGGCACGTTCCCAGCTGCAAACAGCCTGTGCTCTGGGTGGGACTCTGGACCCTGAAAGCCCTCTATGCCTCAGCCACCTGCTGGCACCTGCCACTCAGCCCCACCTGCAGCAGGACCAGAGAGGTCCGGGGTGCAGACAGAAGGTACGCTGGGGGACCGTGGGGGAGAAAGGGGACACTGATACTTCACACCAAGTGTCGGCATGAATCCCAGCACGTCCAAATGTGACGCAGAGCCACACGCATGTTCTGAAAGCAGGCTGCAGGCACACTGCCCTTCTCTCCACCGCAGGACCGAATCCCGGCAGGTTTGAAAGGAGCAGAGGACGTGGCCSACAGAGTGGGCACTGGTCAAAGCAAGTCCAGAGCCGAGGCAGGCGGCTGGGTCACGCCTCGAGTGGTCCAGTCAGGCAAGAGGGCTGGGGGCAAGGTGGGTGGGACAGATGGGCCACAGCTGGTGACTCGTGGCCAGGTGACACTGGGGCTTCATGATACTGCTGTCTTCTTCCACGTGTGCTTGAGATTTTCCACAGAAATGAGGAATCGATGAGGAGAGCATGGGCAGATGTGACCATAAAGCACAAATGTGTCTCAGGGACTTAATGACGGGGTCTGAGTGAGTGACGTCCACCAAGACCAGCAGGAGCCGCACAGCAGGACTCGTGTTTGTGTCAATCAAGTGGAGTCAGGGACAATCCTTGCTATGAGACGTGATGTGACACCCTGCTCAGAGCCCCGCTCAGCAGCAGCCATGTCCAGTGGTTTGCAGGGCAGTGTCCCCGCAAGACACCTGTCGCAGGGTGCCCAGAACCTTGCGTGGCTGTGCCAGCCCGGGTACACCCCCAGGCAGTCCCCAGGACATGAGCCTGCGGAAGGCGCTCACTGTGGCATCCCTTCCTGAGAGCCTGGACACCCAGCAGCTGTCACCCTCGGGCTCGGGGCAGCCTGCAGCCTGGCAACCTCACCAGCTGTGTCCCGGGAGATCCGGGCTCCTCTGTGCCCCAGGCTGTCAGGACGGCGTGCATGCGGGCAGCCTGAGGGGGGGCTGGGTCTCAGTGGGGTGCCTGGAGTCCTGGCCTCCCTCCGCGAACGCACCTCCAGGACCGTGCTTTGCTCCCAGTCCCCGGTTCAGGGTCCACGTTTCCTGCGTCCTGAGAGCGCTGTTCCTTGTGGGGGGCGGGTGTGCTCCTGAGGGAGGCGGTGCCGTCCAGCTCCGGGTCACAGACTGAGCTCCCCTTGAGGTTGGCCTGACCCTGGGGGCTCAGGGCGGGGGCTGCCTGGAGCTCAGTTGCTCAGGGCGGGCAGGAGGTTCCCACCTCCTCTGGACCTCTGGCCCSCAGCTCACAGACCCAGGGCCACTCCCAAGGATGGCCCTTCTGTCCCCACTGGGAGGCCCCTGCCAGGACATCAGAGTGACCAAGTGAGGGTCACAGCTCATGGGAGGCCATCTCCTGACCGTGGGTCTCCAGGGGAGCCTGGGGGCTTAAAAGGGTCCCGGCCCCTCAGCCCTGGGTGTGAGGCCCTCTGGGAGAGGCATGGGGCCATTGTCAGGCCCCAGGGCAGCCCCCGGCAGCTCAGGTTGGCCTCAGTTCTCTGTCCATGGTTTCCCAGCCCTGACCGCCCACTCCCTGGACCTTCCCACCTCCTGCCGAGGCCCCTGTGCCAAGGACTGGCTGGTCGCCTCCCAGACCCAAGCAGAGCAGGTGGGGAGCTCCCGGCCCACCTCTGTGTCACTGGATGACCTCCTGTCCCATTGAGACTACAGAGCTGGGACAGTCCCCAGGAGCCTGGCCTGACTAGACTGAGAGACAGAGCCGTCCTTGGAGCTGAAACCATGGAGACACCCAGGCTCCAGTCCACGTTGAGCTCTGGGACCCAGCAGGAGCTGAGACCGGGTTGGGCAGGAAGCCGGGGCAGAGTGGACGGGTAGAGCTGAGGGCCAGGCAGCGCCTGCACCCTTCCCTGTGGCTGGGCAGTGCCTGGGTCCTGCTGGTAGGCACCACGAGGCTCCTGTGGGCTCCCCAGGCAACTAATGCCAGTCAGGGCCGGGCAGAGGCTGCGGCTGAGCAGGGTGTGGCCAAAGCCCACCGCAGGGCACAGGTGCCTGGAAGGTCTTCTACACGGGGCTGTTAGGAGCCCTGCTTTGCCATCTGTCTCTAAAATGTCCAGGTCACTTGGGGAGGGATGGAGAGGCCCCACCCCTCGCTGTTCCCTCCTTGGGTTGGGCCCCTCTGAGACTGGGCTCTGCTGACCCTGACCCACCTGCCTCCATCAACACCGCCGGGGGCCACAGATGGGGGACGGCTGCCTCGGCTCCGGGCAGGACTTGCCACCGTGACCCGCT